CTGTCTTTGGGTAGATATTTCAATTTCTAAAAATTTTTTGTTGAATTGCTGAATGCCTCCTTAATTATAAGTCGCTTTTGACACAAGCGTTTGCCAAATTACTAAATGTAAAAGTAAATAAGAAAGTCCATACTGTGCATACAACAACTTTTCTACGACGAGTACGTGTACATTATTAAACAATGCTTAAGTTTTTAGTGCAAATTAGTGCTATTATTTGTTTTTCATGGAAAATGAAAGAAGTATTTAAAGAGATAATTCACCCCTTTACTTATTAACCGGTTTGAGCTTCTTTCTGTTGCTGTACACAAAACATATTTTGAAGAAAGCTGGAAACCTTTAGCTATTTACTCTCAGAGTGTTTATTTATTGTTTGCTATGAAGATAAAAGATTACAGGTTTTCAGCTTTCTTAAAAATATACACTACCGGTCAAAAGTTTGGGCTTATTTTTTTAAATGTTTTTTTAAGAAAAATATTATGTTCTTCTATGTGGCAATTATTAATTATAAAAAAATGTAGATCTCTTAAAATTATTATAAAAATTTAAATAACTGCTTTCTTATTGTATATGTGGTTGCATTTCGGAAAAGATCATGTGATTCAGAAGACTGGAGTAATAAAGCTGAAAATTCATCTTTAATATCAGTGGATTAATTTGTTAAATAAATGATAAACTTCTTTTGAACAGTAATTTAATAGTGCAATATAACATTTCAAAATTTTACAAGTTGTACTGTATTTTTGATTAAATAAATACAGCCTTCGTGAGCAGGAGAAGTTTATTATAAAACATAAAAAAAATCCTACTGACTCCAAACTTTTGACTGGTAGTGTGTATTTTAAGTGCATACAGTGACAGAATTAAGTTAACCCATAAAAGTTTGTAGGCCCTTTAGAGTGAATAGATAAATTCATACATTTATAATACATTTTTATTTTTGGGTGAACTATCGGTTTAAGGAGTACCAGTCAAGAATGTAAAGTTAACTTCTGTAGCTAAGCTAGCATAGACAGGCTGACTCCAGCCAAATCTATAAAGTAATGACGTGTAGACTAAATCACAGACGTGTTTAAAGCGTGAGTGGTCATAAATAGCCTATCAAGCGGCTACTAAAAAAGCAAATGTTTGTTTGCATAAACAGATAAGAATTATCTAATGTGGACAGGTGCTGTTTTATATACACTTAGCTTATCAAATGCTTGCTGTGCCATTGTTTGAATGTTGCCATTGTCCAACATTTATCAGAGCATTGGTGTACCCAGATTATACACTCGGACCCTGTTTACACCTCATATTAAGATACATTTTTTGTTGATTGAATCACAAGTAGACACATTCCAGTTTACACTTTGCTTTTAGTCTCTTGTGTTCACTTTTACTCATTTCTGAGAGGAGGGTTTAATAGGTGCATGCATGGTCTTTCTGATGCCTTGTGCAAACAAACTCTGGGTTGCAGAGTAAGTTTTGGGTTGACAAAACCAGACAAATCCAACCTAGTTAAGATCAGGATACGTGGTTTTACAGTACTTTATAAAAACATTCCATGTTAACGTGTGGTTTAACTCAGAGCTTGTGATTAACTGTAGACCACATGTTGGAACAAAACACATGAGATTTTGATTGGTCAGTTTGATTAATTTCTAGTGAGAGAGTCAGTGATTCACCTTTCTGTTGATTAAGAGAATTAAAACTTTATCAGAAACATAATGAATTTAAATGCATATACCAGGCAGAAATAAGCACTGCTGATGCAGCAAAAGTTTAAGAGGGCAACTTAAAGAAAACATTGTTATAGGACACCTTTGTCAACTTATTTTAAAAATGTAGGTTCACAAACAGCTCAAAAGGTGTAAATGTTCACAAACAGTTTAAACGATGTAAATATTTAAAAGTACATTTTAATGAAAAGCGTTACTGTCATTAATTGACAGATCAGAACAATTGTAATATGTAATATTTAATATAATATAAATAATTATAACTGACCTAATATAAATATATACAGTTGTAGTCAGAATTATTAGCCCCTTTTGATTTTTTTTCTTTTTTAAATATTTCCCAAATGATGTTTGACAGAGCAAGGAAATTTTCACAGTATGTCTGATAATATTTTTTCTTCTAGGAAAAGTCTTATTTGTTTTATTTCGGCTAGAATAAAATGCAGTTTTGAATTTTTTAAAAACTATTTTTGGGACAAAATTATTAGCCCCTTTAAGCTATTTTTTTTCAATAGTCTACAGAACAAACCATCGTTATAGAACAACTTGCCTAATTACCCTAACTTGCCTAGTTCACCTTATTAACATAGTTAAGCCTTTAAATGTCACTTTAAGCTGTATAGAAGTGTCTTAAAAAATATCAAGTAAAATATTATTTACTGTCATCATGGCAAAGATAAAATAAATCAGGTATTAGAAATAGGTTTTTAAAACTATTATGCTTAGAAATGTGCTGAAACAATCTTCCCTCCATTAAACTGAAATTGGGAAAAACAATATACAGGGGCGCTAATAGTTCAGGGGGGCTAATAATTTTGACTTCAACTGTATTAGAAAATAAATAATTATTACATAAATAAAAGACAATTTTTACACATCATTGCTTTTAGTGTAAATGGCTCTAATCTGTAGCAAAAAAAAAATTGGGGGGAACTGGGAGTGGTATGTATGTTACTTTTATCACAGCTGATTCATCTAGGTTAGTTTTTGGATCTCAAACCAGCAAAAAAATTCTGGGGTGCAATTCTGAAAACCATCATTTCCCAACTAAGGTCAAAAGTTTTGTCGTTACAAACATAGTTTGTTGATTTGGCGTTTCCCAAATCCATTGTTTCAATGAACATTCGCAAACCGCATTGCAAATTTGTATGCTTGCAACTAAACCTCTCAAGCTGTAGTTAGAAGCATATTTCATGACTATTTTCTAGACAGTTATCCTCCCTATCCGTTTGAAAGTTCCAACATTTAAACTTGAAATGATTTTAAAAAGTGTTAAAGCCATCTCTCTTACATGTAATTCGCTTTTAAAGTATATTTACAGTTCAGCTTTAGCGATCTTCATATTGACAACTGCGTTCCCTTTGCAGTGCATTTCGGAAAAATTTATGCCATTTTGAACACAGACGTTGCTCATGACGAAAGCTGTAGGTGACCCATGTTTTAAAAGTGGAACGTTATGTCTCGCAAATTTTACGTTACGCAAACGCTAATGCTTTTAATTTATAATAGCCTATTTACAAGGAAACGTATAACCTGAAATCTGTAGCTTACTGTATATGACATGGGCCTATTGGTTAGAATAGGAAGTTGTAAAATTAGACTTTTCAAAAAGCTACAAAATGAAATAATAATAAAAAATCCTACATAATATTAGTAATAATGAATTAATAATAATAACAACAAATACTACTACTACTACTACTACTAATATTTGTTATTATTAAGTAGGATTTTTTCATTTCTTAATAAATAGCCTACTTTAAATTATAACCATTAATAATTTATATGAATTATATATGAGATTAAAATGTGTGTTGGCTTTCTGTAAATGGTTTCATGTTTTAGAATAGAATCTGGAATATTCTCAATAATATTTGTGAAGAAAACATGTATAGGCCATATGTGCCATTTACATACAGTTGAAGTCAGAATTATTAGCCCCGCTGAATTATTAGCCCCCCTGTTTATTTTTTTCCCCAATTTCTGTTTAACGTAGAGACGATTTTTTCAACACATTTCTAAACACAATAGTTTTAATAGCTCATTTCTAATAACTGATTTATTTTATCTTTGCCATGATGACAGTAAATAATATTTGACTAAATATTTTTCAAGACACTTTAATACAGCTTAAAGTGACATTTAAAGGCTTAACTAGGTTAATTAGGTTAACTAGGCAGGTTAGGGTAATTAGGTAAGTTATTGTATAACAATGGCTTGTTCTGTATACTATGAAATAGAATTATAGCTTAAAGGGGCTAATAATTTTGTCCTTGAAATGATTTATAAAAATTTTAAAACTGCTTTTATTCTAGCCAAAATAAAACAAATAAGACTTTCTCCAGAAGAAAAAATATTATCAGACATTCTGTGTAAATTTACTTGCTCTGTTAAACATAATTTGGGAACTATCTAAAAAAGAAAAAAAAATCAAAGGGGGGCTAATAATTCTGACTTCAACAGTATATTTAAATTAATATGGAAAATGAGTGCATGTTTTTACCAAAACTAGCCTAATATTGTATTTTTTATGTGTGTGCATGAAAAACAATATAATTTGCACAAAAAAGGTTTTTTTATCTACAGAACTTGTTACTCCACCCTGTTTAGAGCGTCATTGTGAACGTTTTATAGCACCACTAACGTGCATCAAACGATAGATCTGCGACTCTGAGAAATTACGGTTTTGGGAAACACTCATCACTACAACGTTCTTTTTCCAAACACTGCAGCGTATTATGGTAGTTCAGTCGCAAGTTACCTTGTTGTTTAGGAAACGCACTTCTGATCTGTATCATTGTGATTCTTCTTAAGCTTGAAAACCCAAGAGTCAAACTTACCTTGTTAAAACTCAAACAAACCTTTTTGCAACAGCATTCTGATATTTTGATCTATTGCGAAATAACCATGCATGATTTACATACGGTAGGAACATAAAAGGAGACAATGGCAAACAACTTTCGTTTCTAATCTGGAGCCACACTGAATACTGTGGGCTTGTGCTAGAATCAGAACTGGCAAGAGAATTTTGTGCTTTTAAAATTTTTTTCATACAATTTTAGATTTCATAATTCAAATTCCCACTGAATAACATGTTTTATTAACAATCTGTCATGTTAAAGAATTTGGTCAGTAGGTGGAGAGTATAGGGGGCTTTTATTAGCTGTCAAGTGCAACGCTGTAACCTAGTAAACCTGGTATCCAAAACACAACATATCCGGGTTGTATGTGTGTATCTCCAGCCAGGATTAGAACTGACTTTTCCTGTTTCTCCAACAGCTGACTACAAGGAGAGCTTCAACACAATTGGAAATATTGAAGAAATTGCATACAACGCTGTGTCTTTCACCTGGGACCTGAACGAGGAGGCCAAGGTAAGCCACCCAGCACCAATACTGTGTATTCACTGAAGGTTCGGCGGTGGAATGGCAAATTTACAATAAACGCCTTCTCCACTGTATGTGTGTTTTGGGTTTATGGACATCCTGGTGGCATTTATGGTTGTCATGGATGATGAAAAGGCAGGTGTAGTTGTTTAACTCAACCAAAGGTTCAGTTTTCAGTCCCACTACATTAGCGCATTTATTTTTTTCCACAAACTCTTATTCAAACGCACAACCACCATTGTATGTGACACACAGGGTGGAGTGTTGCGACATCTGATATGTGTATTTTACACGCAATTGTCTCTCTCCTATTGTTGAACACTCCTCAAAAGTCCTGTATAGCATCTTCACCCTGGTGCATCTCCCCCCCAGTCCTGCGTATTAATTTAAACCTCTGTTTTCCCCTGAAATGAGTCTCGGGTTTCAGCTGTACGCTACTCAGAGCAGCAATGGGTTCAGGTTTGTGTACATGGCCAAATGCATACAAACGGTGTCCAGATCCTCCCAGCCTCACAGGTAGAGTCCTGCCCTCCTATTGTGGCTCTTCTGTTGCAATACAAGCTCAGTTCAAACACTCGCCTCTGAAGCATAGTCAACTAAAACTCTATGCAAACATTTGCTTTTTATCGGGCCAACTCACACTGGTAAAACCTATTAATGTGGAATATACTGCAGCCGCCCTTGGTTGGATATTTAAATGGATTCTTTTTTTTTTTTTTTTTTTGAGGCAGAGTCCGTGTAAAAGCATGCAGTGGGGTGTAAAACGCTCTCAGTTTGATCTGATAAGCATCTCATACTCTGACCTAACATACTCTCAACTTTTATTACAAGTCCCTTCAAAGTTCTCATCACGGCAGACTGGAATAGAGGAAGCCATAAACTCCATTGATCTGTGAGGTGGAAATTATGTCCTCGTTGGAGTGTGGAAAGACTCGGTCTCTTTTACAAGTAGTTCAACCATGGAGCAAACCCTTTTGACTTTTTTGCCTATAAAACATTACGAATGTTGGGGTTGGCAGGATCATTTTGTGTGGAAAAAGTCTCTTATGCTCAATAAGATGATACATTTTTGATAGAATATTTTAAATGAAATTTTGGTACAAAGGAATTTTGGGCAGAATGTTATTGGAAAAACCATCGATACAATATTTAGTTTTTTATTTTTTACCCAATTTCTGTTTTACGGAGAGAAGATTTTTTTCAACACATTTCTAAACGTAATAGTTTTAATAACTCATTTCTAATAACTGATTTTTTTTTTATCTTTGCCATGATGACAGTACATAATATTTGACTAGATATTTTTCAAGACACTTCTATTCAGCTTGAAGTGACATTTAAAGGCTTAACTGGGATAATTAGGTTAACTAGGCAGGATAGGGAAATTAGGCAAGTTATTGTATAATGATGGTTTGTTCTGTAGACTATCGGAAAAAAATATAACTTGAAGGGGCTAATAATATTGACCTTAAAATGAGTTTTAAAAAATTAAAAACTGCTTTTATTCTAGCCGTAATAAAACAAATAAGACTTTGTCCAGAAGAAAAAATATTATAAGACATACTGTGTAAATTTACTTGCTCTGTTAAACATCATTTGGGAAATATTTAAAAAAGAAAAGAAAATTCAAAGGTTCGCTAATAATTCTGACTTCATTTGTATATTGCAATATAAATACAATTCCACCATGTTACATGAATAGCTCTATTTGGAAAAGAAACCAATTTTGATTGGGATGATTTTAATGGTGAGAGTATCTGCATAAAATAATATATAACAAGCATAGAAAATACAGTAGTGCAAAGATACAAATGAAATAAACAATGCTTGAAGGTTTTCTTGAAAGTATAATGGTATTCGGGTAAAGAAATTGAATAATCAAATGTGAAATAACACTTTAGTCTTCATCATTTTAACAATACAATTAAATTAATTGTCACGGAGTTGTAGTCCATGAAATTGCGAATCTGTAGTCCATTAGCGCTTGTGAGTGTTTTCCAGCGATCTAAAGTGCTTTAGATTGCTGGAAAACACTCACAAGCGCTAATGGACTACAGATTCGCAATTTCATGGACTACAACTCCATACATGCACTCCGCTCATGCACACATGTTCCTAATCCTGAATGATTGCACACACGCCACTGGAGGATTGTCAAGGACTGATTACACACACTATTTAAGCTTCACGCACAAACACCTCGGGACTTAGCCTTGCTATATTGTAATGTTTTCATGTCTGAGTATTTTCCTGTCTAGTCTTCCGTGTTCCGAGCCTCGCCTTTGTTCTTCCGTGTATTGATCCTTAGCCTGCTTGACTACGATTTTGTATAACCTTTATTGTACTGTTTGCAACCTGCTATGATCTCTGCCTCTATGACAATCCTGCTGAATAAATGCTGCATTTGGATCTGCTATTACGGTGTTCATCATCGTCAATCCACAAATGTTACATTAATATTCGTTAAAGCTACAAACTTTTTAAATTACTTAAAAATTCTCAAACAGGCATTTAGACACATGTAAATAATACGCTTTCACTCTACTATAGATAAACTGTGCAAGAACCTCACAAAACCCAGTGTCTGACCTGTGGTGCCTGATGGTCTACTAATCCTGACTGGACAGATTTTGCGATGTGACTATTGTGGATGTGCACATTGCAATATCACTGCTGAATCGATATATTGTCCAGCCCTAAATAAATTATGATAAAATCATTCTAATATGTCAGTTCAGTGGTAAAGAATCATGGCTATTGATTAAGCATACAACATTTTCCACATCGATAGTTATTTACATTATATGCCTTCTATGCTGTTGTTGTCTATTAGAAGGAATGCTTCATTAGAGCTGCCATTTTCCTACAGGGTAGCTGTAACGAGGAGACTGACACGGAGGGATCCATTATGCAGTATTTATTAGTCAAGCTTTTACTAAAACACACAATATGCACTAAAGTGCAAACACACATCAACAATAGTCTGAGAAGTATTAAGACTGGCGGTGAATAGACACAGAGGGGTTTACCAGGCATTGGTCGAGGGCAGGCTGCGAGTATCAGAGTCCGTATATCAGGCGTGGGTCGTGGGCAGGCAGCGAGTATCAAAGTCCGTATATCAGGCGTGGGTCGTGGGCAGGCATTGAGTATCAGAGTCCGTGTATCAGGCGTGGGTCGTGGGCAGGCAGTGAGTATCAGAGTCCGTGTATCAGGCGTGGGTCGTGGGCAGGCAGAAGGCGAAGCAGAGTCAGAAACAGGCTGGAGTAATGCACGAGGAATCAGGCAGGGAATAACGCTCAGAAATGCTGGCTGGGGCTAAACAAGACTTTGCACTGAACCAGTGTTTGAGTGCGGCTTAAATAGGGTACGTGGGTCGTTATCTAAATTCAGGACAGGTGTGTGCACAATCAGCGTAAGTGGATGATGTAATGCTAGAAGTCCGGAGATGGCGGCCTCTGCTGGCCAGCGAGGGGAGTGACTGGGACCGAGTCGGTGACAGTAGCGCTCCTTTAAAATGAATGTGGGACCCAGGTATAGTGTAGGACTGGCTATCTGGAGATATATATACACATATATACATCTATCTACAATCGGGAGTTTTCCCATTGGTCAATATGCAAATATTTATTTTAATTACATCCATTTTCTACATCGATGGATATGTGACCGCGCGTGCATTGCCGACAAAGAGAGTGTGTGTTTGTGTGCATGTAAATGTATTATCCTCCCTCCCTGTTAAATTTGAACTAATCCATGTCTTGAGTCACATCTCCTGTCCTGCTTTTACTTCTAATTCCAAACGAGGGAGCGATCAGTTTGTGAATGACTCATGAGGAACATCGATATCACTTTTCACCTAAGCTTATCACTCATCATCTAAGCTTTTCGCTCATCACTAAAAAAGCGGTTTGATATACCGGTCACACTTTACAATAAGGTTCATTAGTTAATGTTAATTAATGCATTTTCTAACATTAACAAGCAAGGAACAATACGTTTACTACCGTATTTGTTCATGCTAGTTAACAATAGTTAATGAAAATACAGTAGTTCATTGTTAGTTCATGTTAACTCATGGTGCATTAACTAATGTTAACAAGCATGGACTTGGATGTTAATAATGCATTAGTAAATGTTCAATTATGATTAATAAATGCTGTACATGTGTTGTTCATGATTACTTCATGTTAGTAAATGCATTAACTAATGAACCTTATTGTAAATTGTTACTGATATCCCCGTGTCTCAATGTGCACATCCACCTTACTGATCGAAATGGTATAACATTTGTAATATTCAATAATTTAGGATGGACAGTATGCACATTGAGGTGCAGGCATTGCTATGTTACCAGGCAGCCTTATAAATTACTTCAAAAACAAGTCTGTACTTCACTTAGCCGACAATAATAATAAAAGTGTTTAGCACTGCACTACTTTCTAGCACTACATCTTCTTGTCATATTTCATTTACATTGTTTGCTGATTTTATTTAACAAAACTAGCATAAGGCTAGAATTTAGAGCAAGTTGGTGCTACTTTGCCGTATGGTCTCTGCAGAAAGTGACTGTTTAAGCATCAATAATGTTACTTGTTTTGCACAAAAGTTTGTAACATACAAAAACATAAAAAAACGAAATCTTCCCTATGAAATGTTCTGCCTTTATACTTTGTCTTCTTTGTTTGCTCGTTACTACACCCATACACCACTAAATTCAGATTTCCTTTAGTCTTGACTACTGCGGTTGAATGACATTTGTCCTGGGAGCACTGTGCAAATGTGGCAGCACTATTGACGCATGATAAGGGTCCCTATGGGGTATCTAGCGTATATATCTACGTTCCAAATCCACCATTGGCCAATGACTTTTAAACGTACTGGCTGTATATATTTTTGCAAGCCATTATTATTAACATATAAGCCATTTGTATGTTCATTCTTCATTAAAAATCCACAGAATAAATTAGATTTTATGTAACATAAAAAGATGTCTGATACATTTTGTTTTCTCAAATCAAAATGTAAACTACTGCTTCAAGACACTTAAAACACAGTTATCACAAGATGCTAAAACTCTAAAAAATACTTGCTGCCTGAAATATTTTAATTTGATGAACTTACATCAGTCAAGCTGACTCCAGAAGTAACATATTAGTATTAATTAATTGGTTAAATTTAGAAAAACTTAACTGATTAACTTAGTTAAATTAACTTAGTTAGTTAAATTAACAAAAATATCTGTTGTTAGGCTTTTTGTCATATTTTTGCAGTGCACATGAAAAGATGTGTGTTGAATATTATGTAACACTTTTATGTAATTACTTTTTAGTTGCAAGTTGCTATGTTCACTAATCCATATTGTGTTCTGATGCATTAGAGTAGGTTAGAGTAATCAGAAAGATGCCAGCAAACTGGTGACTATCATTGATTTGCATTGCATACTCATCAGTGCCACATTTTCTCACATTTTCTGCTGCTTGGAAGTTTTTCCTATGCCATCTAAGTGTGCAGTGTCAGTTTTTAGGTCAGTTTTCTTTCATTAGCATGCTTCACTTAACGATAGCCTCTTTCTTGTCCTCTGGCATTGGTAATGGCTGATTATATGAAACTGTTAATAACTAACCACGTAAATATTTAGCGGGCAAGACTGTTTCCAAGGAGGCAGAGGCTAAAAAGAATTTTTGCAAATGCAATTGTAAATAATCAAAGATTGCATTTGAGATCAAATTGAATCTTCCTTAAATATAAACTGATATTTCAAGTGGAGAAAGAAGTTTTCTGTGCAGAAAAACGCCTTAGTTTTTAATGTGAAGTCTGAAGGTTGTTTCTGTACAATCAGTGGTACAGATAGACGTGTCGAGGCAGGTACCTGTTTTGCGTGTGTAGGTGGCGGGTGGGTGAAAAACAAGCAGCACTTTCAACGGTCAGGACTGTAGGTCAAACCGGAACAAGCCGAAAATATGAATATGGCAGTTCTTATACAGAAGTCTGGTAAATGTGCATAAAGATGCACAGCGATAAACCTGCTTTGCATATCATAACAGCACTGTTGTTAATTGCAGTTTCTTTGTTTCTATTTGAAGAGACCGTTCACCAAAATGAAAATTCTGTCATTTGCTCATTCTCCACTCGTTCCAAACCTGTTTAAATTTCTTTATTCTGTTGAACAAAAGCAAATATGTACTGAAGTATGTTAAAAAGAAATAAACAGCCATTGATGTTGGTAGTATTTTTTTTCGTTCCTACTATGGATGTCAATGGCTTCTTTTTTTCCAACATTCTTCAAAATATTGTTTTGGTTCAACAGATGAAAAAATTCATAAATGTTTTTGAGATTACAAAAAAATTATATAAATAAAAGAATGAAATAGATATCAGATAGATCATAGATTTGAAAATGGACATTATTTTGTATAACTTCAAATTAGTAATGGATACGCTTGACAGCTATACTCTACCCTACTTTTTTAACATTTGGATTCACATGGATTTTTCAAATCACACAATTTTTGTCATCAGTTACAAAAGTCACTATGCCAGATTTAGTGATTTTGTCTTGATTAAATCTTGACTTGTCGTGAGTAAAAATGTGCCAGACTACACATTGCTTCATGATCCTTCATCCTGTGACTTCTATGACGAGCGTTATTTCCCAAAGCTGTTGCTATAACAATATTTCTTATCTTAATTGAATATTTTAAACAGTATTTCAATCTCAATAAACACTGATGCTTGCTGGCAAATAATCTTCATTATGTCCTTGTTATGACATTTATAGTATCAAACATGTATTTGCTTTTTATTATTAAGATGTTTTCCTTTATATCTAAATGTAGCCTATATTTTCCAGCCATGGCTTGCTAATTAAACACTCCCTCACCTTAACTTGCCACGAGTGAGAGAGAAAATGAAAGCACATCAACACCATGGAAAAATCAAATGCTCAAGAAAAATGACTTATTAATGACTAATTAAAATGACGTATTAATGACGTATTAAAATGACGTATTAATGACGTATTAAAATGACGTATAAATGACATATTAATGATGTATTAAAATGACGTATTAATGACGTATTAAAATGACGTATTAATGACATATTAAAATGACGTATAAATGACGTATTAATGATGTATTAAAATGACGTATTAATGACGTATTAAAATGACGTATTTATGACGTATTAAAATGACGTATAAATTACGTATTAATGATGTATTAAAATGACGTATTAATGACGTATTAAAAATATTTGCAAATATATGACAGAGGTATGTGATACATCAATAACATTGAAGCAATAATTAAATAAGCGAAACAAATCATCACCGCACAGAGTAGCCAAGTGGATGGGCACAAACCAAAAAAATATTTGAATATTTTTCTTGGAAAAAAAATCTTTTTGAAACAAATTTCATTTGGTATAATTTGTATATTAATTTTAATGTATTTTTTGTTGGTCAGCTATTTATTAGATAAAGAAAAATAACGAATAACATCTGAGGTAAAGTGCTTCAAAACAAGTCCACTATTTGCTTCAGCACCAAAACACAAACTGGTTTGTTAAATAAAATAAAATCTAGCCTAAATGAAATTAAAGTCAAATATTCGCAGTTTCAGAGAAACTTATATTAAACTGTTTTCATTGTTAATGACAAAATCATCCATTGCCAGTGAGTTTTAATTTAATTAGTTTACTCAGGTAATTTGAATAAGCATGTCAGGCTTTTACAAAGTATTAGTAGTACTGAAGTGTTTCCAGATTACCTCTGAAGAACAAACTCAGTTGAAAGGCTGAGAGAGCTCAGAAACTCGTTGTGAGAATGGAGATGTCTGCATATTTGTGCCAGTCGTTCAAATAAAATTGGTTAAAACACTTTAATGTTTTATTGAGAGAAGTTAAAGTTTGCATAACAAATGATTGATATTATCCACCTGAGACCCACCCATAAGTGAATATGCAGCCTTTTTTTTTGATTACCTGACCCAAGAATTAATGGCAGCACCCACAGATATAACTGAGAAATTATGTGCTTCTATTGCCCAGTGTCACCCACATTACGAAGCTCGTCTTATAGATTGGGGAAAAGATTACACATGCTAGACTTTCTGAGATGGTGTCACGAGGCATCGCTGGCATGGTTATTGGTTGTCATGAACTATGTCACATTACACAAAAAGAAATGGTTAAACCCTGTGTCATTACATCCATTTGTCATTTATGACTGCCCACGACACCCTACGTCAAGGAAATTGTGCCGAAATCGTGACAAAATCATGTGATCTGACCTGGGCTTAACACACACTTTTTGTAAAGCTGCTTTGGAACAATAATTATTGTTAATTAATTATTTTAAAAATGTCAAAGTTCTACACCAATTTAAATGTCAGTGTATAGTGCATGAAAGGACACTATTAATAAAGTAGTCAAATTGCTTATTACACAAGTTTTTTATGGGGAACTGAACTGCTTCTGCTTTCCTTTCTGTTTGTTAGATCTTCATCACGGTGAACTGTCTAAGCACAGATTTCTCCTCTCAGAAGGGGGTGAAAGGTCTTCCTCTGATGATACAGATTGACACCTACAGCTACAACAACCGCAGTAACAAACCCCTGCACAGAGCCTACTGCCAGATCAAGGTCTTCTGTGACAAGGTGAACCCTGACCTCGAACTAGATGACCTTATTTACACTTATTAAGATGCATTTTTGTCAGTCTGAACATAAGTGTAAAACATGGTAAATGTTTGAGCTTTCAACCACTACCAGAGGCAGTTGAAAATGTATTTGATTAGTTTAGTAAACAAACACATATGGAAAATTTTGTTCATTTAGCCACTAAAGACCTACTGACCTAATTTGTAAATATCATAGGAAGTGTTTTTTCATGCACAAGCCAGATTGGATTTAAATTCTACTGTCTGAATTAATAACTTTAGTTAAAAAAAGCTTTCAAAGGCATCACATATATCCTTTCATCAGCACTCATTCTATAACAATATTCAACGTAGTTTTGTAGATATCAGAGCACAAATGAAAGCTGCTGCTTTCTGCACTTTACTCTTTCTTTGCATTAATGTGTACGTTAAATGTGAGACTTTTTATCAATTCTAGATAAAAAAAAACTTGAGAAAGTTCATACACTGCCCTCCCTCAAGTGGTTGGATAAAAAAAGTGGCATTAAAACACCAGGTTTAAATAGGAATGTTTTAATAAGTCATCCAATAAGTCCGTAATGTCATCCACACTTGCAGTTAAGCTGCATAATTAGGGTGACCACATGGTTATTGTTTGTTTGCGGGACAGCAGATGCAATTTTCTGAGACAATGCAGAAAATGTGGAAGAGATTGAATTATTTTGAAACGGCTTAAATAATAATTTGCATAACATTCTTTTAACATGGTATCCGGAGTCTTAAAAAGTCTTAAAATGTCTTAAATTTTAAAAACAAAATTTTAGTTTCTAAAGATTTTGTGTCTTAAATCATTTTTCAACAGGTCTTAATTTTCCTCTGCCCAAGTAAAGCTACACAATCAGGCCAACATTCATCCAATCACCAACAATCTATCCTAATCCATCCTTCTTAAAAATATTTAAGTTTCTATTTAAGTTTTTCATTGCAAAGAGATACAATTTACAATAGCTGTTCGAATTATTTTACAGCAATCCCTCCAAATAACTCTCTAAATCCCAGGGAAAGAAATCTAAAAACAGTTACACAGTTTGTCATTATAATAACAGAGCAATATATCCTTTTATGTTATATTCCATTCATACAAAACTCTTTACAAAAGCAAGGGAAAGTAGACATTATATTTATAAATAGGCATGAAACTTTAGGATTTATTACAGAAAAATCATTCGGTTGAACAAAAGTCATACTCAATCAATTTGAGCCAAAAACCAACAAATATTTACTTTTGATTATTTATGTAATTCCCTCTACAATAAATATACTTTTACCAATGTTAAACTTGTCATTTTTTTTTGTCAAACAGAAATATTATGTTGAAAAGAGAGAATACAACTAGAGTTTTCATGTTTTGACACATTAAAGTATGTTGCTAAGAAATAATTGCATTTGTTGACAAGACAAAAAAAAATAAAAAATCCATTGGCCTAACCGGGCCATTAGAAATAATCTTTTGAGTTTAGCCCTTTATAAGTCTAAAATGTAATTCGTAATGGACTTAAAAGGGTCTTAAAAAGTCTTATATTTGACTTGATGAAATTTGCCGAAACCCTCTTTAAATCACCAATAAGTTTGTTACAGTATTTGTGACAAGCACTAAACTCTAAATTAATTTGATACTTAATAGTTACTAGTCGGTATAATTGCCTTGGATTTAGTGCATCTTGATCTTTTACCAACATTACAATATTATGTACAAAATGATCTACAATATCTCAGTAGTTTAACAATACTGAACTTTTTTTGTTGCCTTTGGAAGCTTTAAGCAGGATGTTTGTGTGCAGTCAATGATTTTTCTCTCTGTTGATAGAATATGGTGGCTGCATATTCTATCTATAGCTTTTTAATGTGATATATGTGTAGTTTGAAGGCAGAGAAATGCATATATAATTTAAACGTAATGTGCGGTAATGTGTTTTGGAGGACTATTTGTGATCTGATCACTGCAAACACATTCATACCTAATAAAACTGCTTTTCGTTGCATTGTACTTGTACATGTGTAATGACAATAAAGTTGAATCTAATCTAAAACCTGGCTGTATTCCAGTGTAAGGGTGTGTATGTGGAAACAGTCATGGAGAACTGTTATGATAGAAACAATAATGCAGTTCCCTTGAGATATTTCCATTGGCTGTTGGATTATTTTGGAGAAATAAGATATATAAGGAACTGTAACGTCCATTTTGTTCACATAATCAAATGATTAAAAAAAATGGTTTTAAATATATTCCAAAAATGAGATAACTTCTTGAATTTGTGTTAAACACAGACCTTATTTTGTCAGTTCAATCAAAATCCCATTCACAAAATCCATTAACTTGAGGACAGTGAAACCAAATGAAACTCATTTTGGCCTGGAAAAACATGTCATTCCTCAGCACTCCATATGCTTCATCACCTATATAATACACAGTGCAGTAATCTACAGCTTTACTGGGTCAGGTGAATTCATTTAGACGTCATTGTGTGCTCTTGGTCTGAATCTCCATGACTCTAGCGCCACCTTGTGGTCATTACAGACATGCTAGTGTTTCTAATTTCTCTTTTCTGTATGCCTTTCTGTCATTCTGTGGCTCAGGGAGCGGAGAGGAAGATCAGAGATGAGGAGAGGAAACAAAACCGCAAGAAGACAAAAGGTGTGAAGCACATTTCCTGTTCATAAACATAAGCTTTAAAGAACACACAATGTGATTTCCTGTTTTGACATATTTCCAATTAAATGATCGGCTATCATTTGAAATAATCAAGCAGCTTATATTTTACATGTTTGCGGGAGTTAGTAACATGATTGGGTAGAAGCTTTTGTATTTCTGGATGAGTCACCATAATTATTATCACTATGTTCAACTGACATCATATCTTCAGGAAAGAAAGGACGCAATTGGACAATTATGGTCTGAAAAGTATGTGACAAAATAAGTGTAATCAAGAGGCTTTAGTTACATCACAGCTGTACTTTATCAATTTGTGGCTATTAGTAACATACGATTGGACTGAAGCTTGTGGGGTGCAGGATGAGTCACCATTGTTATCATTAATTTGTCCAACTGACATCTTCTTATCAGGAAAGAAAGGAGACAATTTGGACAATTACAGACCCCAAAAATACGTAACAAAAGTTTAATTAAGAGGCTTCAGTTAGTTTGGATGGAAAAATCTGATGAGATTCTTTAGTCATAAACAGTCAGGATTACGAATGGGTATAGAAAGTCTGGGCTTTTGTTGGAGACAATGTGGAACCTCAATGGCTAATCATTATCACATTTTTTTGAGTTCGCCCCAAAATACAGATTTTTTTGGTGTGAAATAGCTATTGAAATTAAAAAGATAACTGGAGAAGAATTGGATTATTCATTCATTTCATCATATCTTGAAATGAGAGAATTTGTTCGAGCCTATGAGAAATAATAACACAACTGGAAATTAATTGTAAAGGAGATACACTTTATGGAGACACTCATGTTTAACTTAAGACTTGACACAAAAAAGTGTGACACCTTGGGAAAAAGTATGACATTGCTAGGGCGACACGGTGGCTCAGTGGGTAGTGCTGTCACCTTACAGCTAGAGGGTTGCTGGTTCAAGCCCCAGCTGGGTCAGTTGGCATTTCTGTATGGAGATTGAATGTTCTCCCTGTATTGGGTTTTCTCCGGGTGTTCTGGTATCTACCTGCCGAAACCCTCTTTAAATCACCAATAAGTTTGTTACAGTATTTGTTACAAGCACTAAACTCTAAATTAATTTGATACTTAATAGTTACTAGTAGGTGTAATTGCCTTGGATTTAGTGCATCTTGACATGCTACCAACACTACAATATTATGTACAATATTATCTACAATATCTCAGTAGTTTAACAATACTAAACTTTTTTTGTTGCCTTTGGAAGCTTTAAGCAGGATGTTTGTGTGCAGTCAATGATTTTCCCTCTGGTGGCTGCAAGAATGGATATTTGAAAAAACAACAGTGTACAATATACAGCTTTTTGATTTGATATATGTGTAGTTTTAAGGCAGAGAAATGCATATATAATTTAAACGTAATGTGCCGTAATGTGTTTTGGAGGACTATTTGTGATCTGATCACTGAACACATTCATACCTGATCAAACCTGGCTGTATTCCAGTGTAAGGGTGTGTATGTGGAAACAGTCATGAAAAGACAAAGACATGTACTGTCGATGAATTGGGTAAGCTAAATTGTCCGTAGGTTATGTGTATATGTCCTAGTCCTTCAGGTTGTGGGTTTGAGCATAGGGCTAATAATTCATCTTATAAAAACTAGTTACTCGCAGCTAAACATCAACTTCCATATAAATGGCCCTGGGAATAAGTATGTAAGTATGGCATTTCAAATAATATACATCAAATGTATTTTGATTTGATACTGTAATCAAACCCTATGACATAGGTGTCCAAACTCAGGCCACAAAAAAAGAAACAAAGCGGTTATGTTTATTCATTTCGCAATATATGTATCGCGGCCCAAGATTTGATGTAGCTAAAGTCTCTTTATTATTTAAGAAAGAGAAGATGAAAAGAAGGAATAAAGAAACATAAAGGGAACAAAGCGATTTATTAGAGGGCAGGGGTGTTCAAACTCGGTCCATGAGGGTCGGTGTCCTGGAGAGTTTAGCTCCAACCTTAATCAAGCACACCTGAAGCAGCTAATCAAGCTCTTACTAGATAGACTAGAAGCTTCCTGACAGGTGTGTTGAAGCAAGTTGGAGCTAAACTCAGGATACTGGCCCTCCAGGACCAAGTTTGGACACCCCTGCCCTCTGATAAATTGCTTTGTTCCCTTTTTTGTTTCTTTATTCCTTCTTTTTTTTCCTTTTGGGCCGCAATACATATATTGCGAAATGAATATCATTTGACCAGATGATTTGAATTATTATTTGGAAAGATTTTATTAATTTAGATTATTGATCTAATATTGTGATATTTTATTTTTCTGCGATAAATATTGCGATATAAATACAGTTTCAGACGATAATTTGAATAGCTTTGTTTGACGGTTTTCTGGGGAGTCTACCAGTTTTATGTTGAGAAATTAAATAATCACAATGCAACAAAAGCTTTTCTTACTTTATTTTGTCTTGTTTCTAGTCTGAATATCAAAAACATTCTGAGAGCAAGTAAAAATATTGTTTCGTTTTAAAAAAAATAAAGTGTTTTTTTTTTGTTTTTTTTTTGCTTGTTTTAAGGAAATTATCTGCCAGTGGGTTAAGCGTAATATTCTTTTTCAAGTTTTTGCTCTGAAATGTAGATGTTTGGACTAGAAACAAGACAAATACTCTAGAAATGTTTTTTTTTTTTTGGCATAAATCATTCATTCATTCATTTTCTTTTCGGCTTAGTCCCTTTATTAATCTGGGGTCACGACAGTGGAATGAACCATCAACTTTTGCAGCACATGTTTTAAGCAGCGGATGTCGTTCAAGATGCAAGCCATAACTGGGAAACATCCATACACACTCATTCACACACATACACTAAAGACAATTTAGCCTACCCAATTTACCTGTACCGCATGTCTTTGGACTGTGGGGGAAACTGGAGCACCCAGAGGAAACCCACATGAACACGGGGAGAACATGCAAACTCCACACAGAAACGCCAACTGACCCAGTCGTGGCTCAAGCCAGCGACCTTTTTGTTGTGAGGTGGTCGTGCTACTCACTGCGCCACAGTGCAGCCTGCAGAAATCATATAAAGTCTATATAAATAGAGTGATTAAATACATTTCTGTAGCTTCTGGGCAATTATAATTCAGACTGGACATTGCATATCTTTGCGATGTGACTATTGCGGATACACACGTTGTGCAAATTCTACTAATTTAGATCGACTTACATGATCAAGTCTTTTTTTGTGCAGTGTGTCTGCATGAATTGTGAAAAATTATTCATTCATTCATTTTCTTGTTGGCTTAGTCCCTTTATTAACCCGGGGTCGCCACAGTGGAATGAACTCATCCAGCACGTTTTTACACAGCAGATGCCCTTCCAGCCGCAACCCATACCTGGGAAACATTCACACAATGGACAATTTAGCCTACCCAATTCACTGTAGGGGAAACCGGAGAACCCGGAGGAAACCCACACGAACGCAGGGAGAACATGCAAACTCCTCACAGAAATGCCATCTGAGGTTTGAACCAGCGACTTTCTTGTTGTGAGGCAACAGCACTACCTACTGCGCCACTGCGTAGCCTGTGAAAGAAAATAAATAAATAAATAAATAAATAGATAAATAAATAAATAAATAAATAAATAAATAAATAAATAAATAAACTACTTCATGTTTTACATTATTCAAGTACAGAAATGAAACAATTAAATGTTAAATAACGTGGCCATCATGCATATATATTAAAAATGATCATATTTAATTACTTTTTTTTTATAATTTTTTTTTTGGTTTTCACCTTTATTGGATAAAAAAATAGAGAGAATAGACAGGAAAACATGGGGAGCAGAGAGAGGGGAAGGATCGGCATAGGACCACGATGCGGAATCGAACTCGGGTCGCCGTGAGCACCAGAGTGCATGTGTTAATGCCCTAACCACAACACCACTGGCGCTGACAATATTAAATCATTTTTGATCTTTAATAAATAATCCAATCCTGCGATATGACTATTACAGACACACACATTGCGATTTTGAAACTCAAACGATATATTATTCAGCCCTAATCACAGCTAAGCTTTACTAGTTTGTGGCAGTTGGTAACATATGATTGGACAGAAGATTGTGTAGTTCAGGATGAGTCACCACTGTTATTATCAATATGATTAATTGACATTGTCCCATCAGGAAAGGATGGAGGCAGCGGGACCGTTACTGTCCCGAAAAAATGTGACAGCACCCTCTTCAAAACGATGACTGATTTGGATGCCCAGCCAGTTCTCTTTATCCCGGATGTGCACTTTGGGAACCTACAGAGGGCAGGCCAGGTATAAGTCATTCTGAAACCCACACTCAATGACCAGATCACACCTTTTGTATATATGTGTGTGTGTGTGTGTGTGTGTGTGTGTGTGTGTGTGTGTGTGTGTGTGTGTGTGTGTAAAAAACCTCTGCTATTTTGCAGATGCTTAAGAAATGCTCTCAGAGTTTACTTCCTGAAGTCTAAAAAGGCTCATTAAAGAACTGTCATGAAGACCTTGGCAGTTCATTGTGTGTGTAATGAGACTGAGACTTATTAGAGAGCCACTGACCTTTCAAAACCTGACATGAAAGGTCACTGTTAGCCTCCTCATGAAGCGTGTGATTGTGTGTATCTTGGATACTTTGGTGACATTTGTTTAGTAGGAAGGATGTGTGCTGGGCTGGTCATTGTAGTGTCTGTTTAAAGGCTTCTTCTCAGTGTTACAGAGAGTATAAATGTTCACAGGAGATTCATTTGAAATCCATGTGCATCTTTTTGCAGGTATTTGCATTCAATACAGAGGAAATTGAATGTGAGGGGTGAGTTTCATGTTTTTCTTTTAGTATTTATGGTTTAAAAAAGAAAATGTTCTTAAATCACCATGAACATCGTAATAATCATGCTAAATTTTCATTATTGAAAATAGCTGGGTTCCCATTTTTCCTAAGTTCACAAAAAATGGGGAAAATGTGAATTAGGTGTCAAGTTAGAGTGGTTTACTGTAGTATTGGTAACCTAGTAGCCAACAGCAAACAAGGCAAGCATAATCGAGATATTTGGTTCACCATGCGGGTGTAATGTTCAAAGTTAGTTACCCTGTCATTACAAGTCTATAATAATATTTATAAATACAGTGGTCCCTCATTATTCGCGGGAGTTATGTTCTAAAAATAACTTGCAATAGGTGAAATCCACATCAGCTTTAATTTCTACAATTATTATAGCTTTTCACTTAACACTTTTCTCAGACAGACATTAACATTTTCACATGTTTCTCTCGTTTAAACACTCATGTAACTTCTACCTTCCTTAAGCATGTCCAGAAGTCCAACTTTTTTGTGCAATGGCTAGGATTTTCTTCTGCCTTTTGGGTGCTACCGTGGGTGCCTTTGACGGTGCAGAAGGTATTGTTGATATTATGGGGTTTTTTGGGGAGAAAACTTGCAAACACACAGTGCAGCACTTCAGAGTCACACTGCTAGGGCTCTATCATAGCTCAATGCGGCACAAGGCGTGACGCAATTGTTGTTTGCTAGTTTCAGCTCGGCGCAAGAGTCGTTTTGACGGTTTGCACCACGCTGTTAAAATAGCAAATGCATTTGCGCTCATATGTGCGCCCATAGGCGTTCTGTTCTAAGAAAGGAGGTGTGTTAAGGCGCATTGCTGGTGCGTTGCTATTTTGAGGAACTTTAATAGACAGCACAATAGACCAGATCAAAGCCGCTTTTTGTGCGCCTCGCTTAAACGTTGCTTAATACACACATGATGTACAGCAATACGCAAATATCTTTACAAATGAAAAATATTTAAAGGATTAAAATATTACAAAAATTATTATTTTCTAGTCTACATAAATATAAAAACCACTTCCTCCATGCCTTCTTCATCTCGGGGGGCTTTTTTAGTTTATTCATGACAATTTGCTTTTGTATAATTGTATTATTAGGAGTATTATTTATTATATGCAAATTTATATTTGTTTTATTTAAAACAAGCTTAGATATGCCCACCTGTCTGGTTTTAGACCATATGGGGCACAGCATGTGTATTTGGATATAACTTAGTTTTTTGACCACACTTCGTTATTATTGTTCATTTATTCGTTTGCTGGAAATTAGAACTGAATTTAGAAATAGTTTTGAAACAAATCTTTGTGCTTAACAAAATAAATTAATTATGTATAGGCTAATGGATGTCTGTGTGTACAACACGTTTCCCTATCCGCAAGAGTGAAAGTGAAATTGAAGAATTAGGATGCTCATCTCTCATTCTCACGCTGTACATGCTCCGTTTAACTGTTTTCTCGCTAGTGAAGTGTTCAGTTTTTCCACTTACAAAGTCTGCTATGTAAACAGCAAATGCTCTATGGTGCGATGCAACTGACTTTTAAAGGAAATGCGAGACTCTGATTGGTTTATTCTCAAAACACACCTATAACTCATTAAGAGAATAAGCTCAACCCTGTTAGACCATGCGCCACACGCAAAGCAGATTTTTCCATCCTTAAAATAGCAAAAGTGGATTCGGACATAACCTTAATGCTTTTGCTCCCTGCACTTTGCACTGGCTCGACAAATAGAGCCCCTAATGTTGGGATTTATGTAAACCTGGCAAGCTGAACGCATTTTGTACTGTACAGGAGACATGCCATGGAGGTCAGGACGCAGAACACAATGGACTGTAAAAAAAAGTCCAATTGCACAAAAGCAATCCGCGAGACTGCAAAAGGTGAACCACATTATGGCGAGGGACCTCTGTAAATATTTTTGCAAATTTACAAGGAATTCTATTTGAAAGTTTGTGTTCTCATCACTTGTTTTTCATGAGGATACTTCGTAATGTGCATCAGCACAGCAACGGAAACTCAGCTAATAAGTGGTGCTAAAAAACTTTTTATCTTTATGTTACATTGCATTTTGTCCAACTGAAAATGCAAACTTTCAAAAACTAGTATACAGTTGCAAGTTTTAGAAAATTCTACTATCAAAACTATTAAATTATAAACTATTAACTATGGCATTGTTTTGTTTAAAACTAAAACTGGGATGCCATATTTATTTTTGTTTGTTTGTTTTTTGTTTTACATTTTTAAACCCCAACTACTGGCCCGGCATTTGGAATGCAGCACTTATTAGATTTTTCCAATTATTGTGAATGGGAATCATCTTGATTATGCTCACATGTACAGTGCTCAGCATATATAAGTACACCCCACCCAAATCTCTCTTTTAAATTCATATTTTTAATAGGAAGTTATACAATATTATATGTGTGCATATATAAATCTGGAGCTTATCTAACAAAATAACGTACGATAACGGTCCAAAAACTAGTGCACCCAAACGTATATGTTATAGAAAAATATTAAAAATGAATTTAAAAAGAGGAAAAATCAAGGGAAGCAAAAACATTGAAAAATTTTGTTGAAATTTTGTAGGTTGTATCTTTTTCAATATTTAGCTAGAATTTAATTGTATAATTTTTCAATTTTTAAAATATGTTTAGTGACTAAAATATTATTTTAATAAAAATATCTGTTTAATAAATCTGTTTTGTTTAAATGCACCAAAAATACATTGCCCATATACACTGTGAAATGGATACAAATAATCATTTTCAAAATAGGGTGTACTCAGTTATGCTGAGCACTGTCTACTTAAAACTTGAAAAAATGAAAAGGCACAAACAATTTGAAACAAATGGCTATTCATTTCCTAGAATTCATGATTGCATCAAAAAATTGTGTTCAGGTGATTGGCATGAGATGGACTGAGGAGGAAATCTGCTCATCTGATTGCTCAGAGAGAATCATGATGTCACTTTGTTTGTTTGTGTTAGGAGTGTGCTGGTGAAGAGGATGTTCCGGTCATCTGAGGAAGACTTCTGCCCACCGCCACATAAACAGCTCAGAGAAGACACACAGAAGAGAGGTCAGGCCACAACACACACACACACATACACACATTTACTGTGCTAATGTGTGGCTTTCAAACCAATCTTGATGGAAAATAAAACTATTTTACAATGTCAGTTTTGAGTGAATCAGTTAGGTATTAATTATTATTGTTAGGAAATTAAAAATGGTTCTTATATTTATGATTTTTGCTATTTTATAGTTTTAAAGAAACTGTGAAACCATTTTGTTCTTTAGAATTCTTTGTTTAGAAGAGAGTTCAAAATAACAGCATTTATTATTATATATATTTTGTTAAAGTATAAATGTCTTTGTTTCAACTTTAGTAAACTATTTAGACAGAACTGTGTGTAGGTATAGTGTGTCCACAGTCATGTTGGATGAAAATAAGTCTCTTTTTTTAAATTGCCTGTCATTAAAATAGGATCCAAATCCCTTCTATTTTGAGACCCACCACAGCGTGATGTAGGAGTGCGGTTTCAACACCCAAAAAAATTATTGACAGCCATGCGCTTACATGTCACCGTAGTAACAAGTATAATCATATCAACAAGACAAGATATGCGCAAAGCAACTAGGATTAAAAGATCAGTTGATGAGTGATCATCAATCATCATCACACGTGATCAAGAATGGGTTTTACAAGTTTAAAATCTTTTTAAAACAGTGCATGTTTGTAATAAATTACAGCAATTTTACCATCTTTACTTTATTACCACAGCCGCATGTCAGTACAATTATAAAAGAAGACGCTTCTATCCTGGTTTTGGACGTTAAATTGTTTATTTTGTACATTAACATAACGAATAGCTATACAGCAGTGGATATTGTCATGTATGTGTCATCTGCTGTGCAAAGTTTAACAGTGCAGAGTTTAACGTGTGCGCTGTGTGTGTCCGCTGTGTGTGTGCATGAACTTCGCAGAACTCATCCCAGAAAGGCTTGATTTAACTTCACAACAAATACATCAAATAATCATTGGGAAATTTCTTACTGTAGTATTTCTCACAGACTTTACGTGGGATCTGCTTCCTTCATGTCTGCTGTTTATCTGACCGAGACGGAGACACACTGACAGGCATATGGGAACGGTGGGTGGGGAGAGCTAGCACTAAAGGCACAGGCAACATAAACAGCTACAAAGTGGTCAGAGCAGTAAATTTCAATATTCTGAAAGGTATAATTAATTATCTGATTGGTGTTTGAGCTGAAACTTTTCAGACACTCTTTAGAGACACAGAAAAAAAAACTGTATCTTAAATCTTGAAAATGGGGTAAAATAGGTGCCATTTAACAACTAAATGTCCTTTATGATCGTTAATACATTTTGAATGATACTGCATTACAATTCCCACATAATATGAAGCAGACCAATATTTTTCAACACATATTAATAATAAGAAAGTTTTTTGGGACACTGAAGACTGGAATAATAACTGAATTAAACTAGATCATTAAATTTAATAAGAAACATTCAACATTCAATAAGAAAATAGGCATTTTAAATTCTTATATTATTTAACAATTTTACATTTTAAATGTATTTTTATTTTAAAAATGCCACATTGAGGGACAAATTAGGATAAAATAGCCTTTTAAAAGCTTCAAAAGTACTGATATTTACAGGTATGATTTTTAGTAAATAAATAAAGTGTCACCCTTAACTTTACTCATAAACATATCTATTCAAATTCAATTAAATGAAATTCAAATGAATTAGCCACCAACTGACCAAAATGCTAAATAGTTTGTATGGACTGCCATATGAAATTGTGTTGGTATTTTTTGCTGTACTTGTATGTCAAGCTCAGTGGAACTATGATTCAATTGAACAAATGTGTGTCTGTTTTGCAGTGCTGTTGTACGTGAGGAAGGAGTCAGACGAGGTGTTTGATGCTCTGATGTTGCGGTCGCCCACTGTCAGAGGACTCATGGATGCAGTGAGTATCTGCTGATGTTGGGAGTGCTCTACTCTAAAATACTTAAGCATTGCAGAGGTTCTCAACTTTGCTGGCGTTAAGGGCCAAATGTCCATCACATGATATACAGGGGGCCACTTATATAAATTTGAACGTTTTTTATTTATTTCAAGAAGATTTTAGAGACAAAGCAAATATTGCATTTCAAAGGAATATGAAAAAACTATAACTATGTTAATTTATCTTAATAAGCACATAGCATTACTGATATTTACAATAACAATTACTTGTCTTACAGTTTAACATGCAGTTAAAGGAATAATACACTTATATAAATAATGTGAATGGAATGAAAACAAATAAAATACAATTGAATAATAATATAAATAATATTATTCATTTGTTTAAAAAAATACATTTAAATCAAGTACAATTATTGAAATTAAAAAGGTAATTAAAATTAAATTTCTACACAAAATCAAGGACACAAAATTTTATCTGTCAGACCCATATTGAAATGATTTCATTGTGTTTTTTTTACTAATGAAACACCTGAATCTGCATACCTTTCACAAGTTCTTTAAGGGTGCTTTCACATCTAGGCGTTTGTTTTGAAACCCTGTCTCGTTTACGAAGTTAGCGCGGTTCGTGTGACATATGCGAAACCCGAAATCCTCTTTGATCTACACCAAATCTATCGTTCCGAGACTGCCTGAAAGAAATGATCTTGGCTCGATGTCCGTGGGTGTCAAAATAAAGTGCAACTTTTCGCTATTAATGTCTTATTGCTCATCATTATAAATTAAAATAACAATGTATCTGTCTGTGGCACTTAACCCTGTATTTGTTACGAAAATAAACCCTGAAACTCTGACCAATGTAAGGAGAGTTTACTCACACGTGACTTGTTTTACCTAATTTGGTCCATTTAGTAGTGTGAAAGGGAACCGCACCAAGAACAAAAATAAACATTGTAACAATTTTAATCCAAAGAAAATTGATCTACAGGGGTGAAAGCACCCTAAGATTTGCTTGTTGTTCACTTGTAGCTGCTCTCAGTCTGTCAGATTTTGGTCAGTTAGATGGTGCTTTAACTTTATAATCGCCGAGGCTGAGAAGGAGCTCTCGCAAACAAAGGTAGATCAGAAGAAGGTCAGGAATTTCTGAGCACACTGAATTAGTGCAGGATATGTGTCTTTTGGAATAGAAGATCCAAAAAGGGTCAGCGCTTTGTTCCTTGTGCCTTCTGTCGAGAACGGTTTTGTGCTGGTCATCAAGTACAGCTCTTTTGACACCTAACTGGAGATCGCTGACTGACACTGATGCAAGGGCGTAGGTTTGCACCTGACATTGGTGGGGACTGGGGACGAGTAGCCAAGGGGGGTCAGCATGCGTGTAGCCAAGGGGGGTCAGGTGGTTTGAAAGACCAACAGTTGGATTATTATTATTATGTTTGAATTTATCTTATTATTCAAATGGATAAATTCTCACTGAGGAAGGTTGAATGCGCCGGCCAGTTTGTTATTTGCCTAGGCTTCAGTTTTTAATTTAAATCAAGTTTTAACAGATTTCCCAAAGAAAATTATGATAAAAAATTGTCTTTTAAAAATAAGTATATTTACATATTTGAAGAGTTTAGATGCAAAAACCTCTAAATGCCATTTAATATTTTCTTCTAAAATTAGCATTTTTCTCCAACTCCTGTGTGTGGACTCTTTTATAGTGACAAATACGTTCTTTTCATTGCCGTTAAAGTGAAATAGCTGAACATAAATATACAAGGCTGAGAAAAATGCTCATTTTACATGGCATTTAGAGGTTTTGGCATCTGTACTGTACTTCATTTCTTTTTTCTAAGAATTTAAAGTCCTAATTTCTAGTTCAAAGTATTTTTATTATTTATAAAACTGTAATAAAATTTACAGTTTAAATGTGTAAATAAAGCAATTTGACAAATGGTAGGAACTAGTTTTGATAGATCAAAAAGTGTAGTTGTAATAACTATTCAACAAGATTATCCAGCAAAAATTTGTTCTTAATATGTCACTAAAATGTATTATTTATACCTCAATTAAACAGAAAATCAGGTGAAAAACTGCAAAAAGGTTCAGTTTTTCAGAAAACAAATAACCCCTTTCAATAAGCTGGCTACAGGCCTGAAAGTGTTATGTTAAAAAATTGTTTATTAACTGATAAAGAGAGAGTTTAATAAAGACTTTCGTTCATTTTTTGTACAAATTAAACATGTATTATTAAAAGATGGAGCACAGGCTGTAGTTTTTCTGACAAATTGTTTCAACCAAAATTGGGGATGTTACTCTAAGAGATTAGGAGAACTGACAGGGTCATATACGTTTACATGTAGGTGTTTATTCTGCAGTTAGTTTTCAGGGAATATTGTTTACAGACTAGTCTGCTTTAACGTTAGACTCAACGTAAAAGCGGTGAAAACACTAGCATAACGGCATTATCATCTTGGACTCATTCAGTAGCGAACTTGAGTTTATGTGACTTACACTTTTCGTTGGCAAAAGCTCTTTATGTTAACCTCTTCTTGCTATCTCCATCCTCACTTGTGTGTCTGTCATACACCTCACACACATCGGGAAATTCCACCCGCGCAGTTGTTTTGGCGCTGTTTGTATCTGAAACTATGATCTGAAAGCAGCCACTCACATGACAGCAGGGAAAGGCACAACCAATCACAATGTTCACATGTGTTTGGGGGCGGTGCGACTGGAGGAGAGAACGTGATTTAACCCTTTCGGCATGTCTAGGTTTATACTGACAGCGCGATGTTTTTAAATGAATTAAATTATTGGTGGGGACATTTTGGTAGTTTGTGGATATTGGTGGGGACATGTCCCCACCGTCCACCCTAAATCTACGCCCCTGCACTGATGTATAAAGAATGTCACAATTAAACAGATTTTCAGTATATGCCAGCACAGGTTTCATGGCCTTGATGTCTGCGAACACTGCTGTAAAAGTTCAGTGAGGTATGGGCAGTAGGCTATGGGTGACAATGATCATGCAACGAACTGCAGAACAGGAAAGTGTGTTAAGTGGTTTTCCTTCAGTTGTTGAACAAATAGATCCAGTTTTGTTTCAAATGCCGAGACATTGTTGAACATCATCAGAAGAATGTTTTGCCTATCTCAAAGTTTGGGATTAAGTGCATTTAGGTGGGATGTTATATCTGTCAAAAATGCAGCATTGTCAGTGAACGTGTCTTTATTCAGAGTGACAGTAAAGTATGCTGGCTCTTCTCATGTAAAAACATGCGCACAGCAGAAAGTAGTCGCATGAAACTGCATAACACCTTTTCGCGACTAAGCCATCTGACCTCTGTATGCTTTGCCAAGTCACCGGATGCACCCTCACACTATCTACAAGCGATCGGAACTGTCTGTGTTTCAGTGCATGTGCAAGTTTTGTGTTGTTGATGTCGATTTTAAAACAATTTCCTCTAAAATAATCATTAATAATCATAATAAACTCATCAAGATCAACTTTGCAACTAATCTACTTTTTAAAAAACAATTACACACACACACACACACACACACACACACACAAACAAATATATATATATATATAATTTCATAGTTGATACTTTTTTTGCTATGCCTATTTTGTATTTTGTAGTATCACACTCGTAGCAGTGTGAAATGTATATAGTCACTGGTGGGGCCTGCATGAATATGACTGTGAATATGACAATAAACACTATAAATCTTACATTTTTAAAGCCGAATCAAAACTTACAACAGATTTTGACCTAATGTAAATAATTATTCACATCTATGTGATCAAATCTTATTGAATCCGGAAAAAAAAACATTTAGATAAATAAAATCTATATTTATCTATAATAAAAAGGTTTAAAATCAAATCTTTTTAATGTGAGGCTCTGATATGATTGATTTCAACATTAAATTTAACCCAAATAATCAAGCCCAATAATAAAAATGTCAACAGATTTTGATTTGTCGTAAATAGTCAAATCATTTTGGTGTTCTGATACATGATTAAATTGTGGTTTGTTTTTCATATCGACAGATTTCTGAGAAGTATGGTGTTCCCATTGACAGAATGGCTAAGATTTACAAAAAGAGCAAGAAAGGGTAAGTGACAGATGGTAAATGTATACAGCTGAAGACAAAATTATTAGCCCACCTGTTGTCATGGTCACCAGCTGGAGTATCCACACAAACACACAAGTAGCAAGGTCTTGTTTAGTTGTTACTGACATTTCTTGTTCACTGTTCCTGCCTGGTTTGTTTGTTTGCTTGTTTGTTTTGGACTGGCTGGATTTGTAATTGTTTGCTGCCTGCTTCCATACTTGCCTTTATTTTGGATTTCTCTTTGTGGATTAATCCTGTCATTTCCACCCTGATTTTGAAGGTTCTTTTTCAAGCTCCATTATGTACCATGTAAAATTGTAATTCTTTTATGAAGTTAAACAAAGGATCAAAAGCTTTTTACAGTATTCACTATTATATTTTTCTGCTCGAGAAAGTCTGTTTGAAAGAATAGTTTGGCTGGAAAAATAATTGCAAAAACAAAATTAGTAATATTACTAGTCCCTTAAGAAATTATATGTTTTTTTCCGAATGACTACAGAACGAAGCACTGTCGTCCAATAATTTAATTTAATCATTTACCACAATATATATATATTTTTTGCGGTAACAAATGGAACAGTATTTAGAACTATATGAGACGTGGCGCAACCACAATCTTTAAAATCTCTCCTTAAGTGATCGTACATCTATACCAGCTCTGCTACTCAACCCTCCAGTTTATTCATGTTGCTACCTTTGGGCTCTATTTGAACAACTCAAGCACAAAGTCTAAAGCGGATGGTGCTATTTATTGGATGGAAAAAGGGTTGGGCTTATTCTCTTAATGAGTTATAAGTATGTTTTGATGTGCATTAAACCAATTAGAGTCTCATCTCCCATTCCCTTTAAGAGACTTGCAAAGTGTCTCATTTGCTATTTACATGGCAGAAAATAAAAGTTTAAGAATAAGCCTTGACCATGGATTAAGGAAACAGTGAACGCACTTCAATGAAGACATCCATGTATTTAATGTGCCTTAACACACTTCCATTTCAGACCTGCATGCCCATGAATACACAAAGTGACACATATACATTTGCTGTTTAAATAACATGGCACAAAAGGTGAAAATGACGCCTGCGCCGTTATGAAAATAGCCTGGCATCGTATTGCGCTGGGTGTACACTACCTGACAAAGACCTTTTGTCAATTTCAGTAGAAATTAGTCAAGTTTGATGAAGGAAAAATCATGGTTTGGGGTTACATTTTGGGTATGGGGGCATGTGAGAGATCAGCAACATCAACAGCCTGAGGTATCAAGACATTTGTGCTGCCCATTGCATTACAAACTACACAAGATGGCAAATTCTTCAGCAGGATATCACTCCTTCGCGTACTTCAGCCTCCACATCAAAGTTCTTGCACGCAAAGAAGGTCAAGGTGCTCCAGGATTGACCAGCCCGGTCACCAGAATTGATCTTTATTGAGCATGTCTGGGTTAAGATGAAGGAGGCATTGAAGATGAATCCAAAGAATCTTGATGAACTCTAAAGCAGGTCGCACACCAGAAGCGCAGCGCCATGTATTTTAGAATTCTAAACATGGGTTTCTATCAGGATACACACACCGGCGCCGCAAGTCGGCGGCTGTCGGCGGCGCCCGGCGACGGCTCAGGACGCAGTTCATTTTTCAGCCGCGCCACAGAGCGCCATCTGATTAGTTTCATGTAAAATATCATTCGAATGTGCGCGTCTGGTGTGTGATACTTTAAACTGTCATGTACGCGCCGTGTCGCGGCGCCGATCGACGCTTCTGGTGTGCGACCTGCTTAAGAGTCTTGCTAGAATGGTTTATTTGCCATTCCAGATGACTTTATTCATAAGTTATTTGAGTCATTGCAGAAATGCAAGGATGCAGTCCTTCAAGCTCATGGGAGTCATACACAATATTCATTCCTTGTCCACTGCACCATGACTTCATATTCTATGCTGTACATTATTTCTGTTGACAAAACTTTTATCTAAGCAACGTCAGGCCTTAATGTCCTATTTAAACAATTTAAAATCAAGGCATGATCAGATTTTATTTTGGTAAAATAAGCATAATCTTAAAGCCTTTGCCTTTAATATTAGCCAGAAGGTGAATTTCCAGGACACATCCACAAATTGCGTAATCGTCACAGACCAGTGGTTGCTCAAAGGTGTTTAGACGCAAAAAGAACTCCCCAAAAAGTTTGCTTTGGTGAGCTGTTACGAACTGGAAACTACAAACGAACTTCAGTTTGGCTAGATTTTGTATAAAATTACATCATTTCAGTTCTTTTTTCGATTTGGTTTGAAGTACACTACCTGATAAAAGTCTTGTCACCTATCCAAGTTTTAGGAGTAACAAATAATAACTCGACTTCCAGTTGATCATTTGATATCAGAAGTGGCTCTGATACATCTTCAATGTCTCCTCCATAATCTGACCCCAAACATGCTCAATAACATTCATGTCTGTTGACTTGGCTGACCAATCCTGGAGCAATCCTTCTTTGCTTTCAGGAATTTTCATGTGGTAGCTGATGTATGAGGAGGAGTGCTATTCTGCTGAAGAAGTTGCCCTCTCCTGTGGTTTGTAATGTAATGGGCAGCACAAATGCCTAGCTGTTGATGTTGCCATCCACTCTACAGATGTCTTGCACACCCTCATACTGAATGTACCCCAAACCTTGATTTTTCCTTCACCAAACTTGACTGATTTCTATGAGAATCTTGAGTCCATGCGGGTTCCAAAAGGTTTCCGCAGTATTTGTGATGATTGAGATGCAGTTCAACAGATTATTCATCAGAAAAATCAACCTTCTGCCACTTTTCCAATTGATCAACTAGAAGTCAAGTTATTATTAGTTGCTAATACAACTAGGATCGACTACAAGACTTTTGTCAGGTAGTGTATACCAGGGTCATAAGTATGTTGTGAAAATCTTCTCTCTGTTAAACAGCACTTGTAAAATACTGGAAATGAACATGTTAGCATTTTTCTTCAACTGTATTGACAATGAAAAAACTCATGCCATCTTTATTGCAGGATTCTGGTGAACATGGACGACAACATCATCGAGCACTACTCAAACGAGGACACGTTTATCCTGAATATCGAGAGCTACGCAGACGCATACAAAATCACTTTAACGGAAATATGAGCACGGTTACAAAACCCTTCTGTCGTTCAGTCTGCTTAAGCTAAAAGACTCTAATCTGGTCAGATTCAATATCAACTGTCCATCGATTGAATTGACATCAGCAAAAAACGGACTTACCTCATTTTTAAGAGACCTCAAGTATGATTCGAAACAGTCACCACTAGAAGATTCCCTGCATGCCAAAAATGTCCACGGTTTTACTCTTCTACTGTTTCGAAAGTAAAACACGCCGGATTCCTCATCGACCATTCATAGGAATTCATGTATAGATATACTTACATCTCATTGGTTTTGATGACATAATCTTGCTTGAATTTCACTGGGATATTCCAACGGATTTCATTTAAGAGAAAAGGGTAACACTTTAGAATAACCATCCATTATAACTAGTTAATAGACCATTAATAAACTGTTAGTTAAAAGGTTGTAAATGACTTGTTAAATAAAAGTTAATAGTTTGTTAATTATTTATAACTGTGCCTTATAAATAACTAATCAATAACTTACGAGCTGTTAGTTAACAAGTTGTAAATGACTTGTTAACTGTATTTTAATGATTTATAACTATACCTAATAAATTATTAAGAGATCCTAAACAAGCTGTTAGTAAATTGCTTACTAAAGACTTGTGAAGTATCCGTTAATAGTATATATATGTTATTGGGACGTTATTCTAAAGTTGCAAATATTCATTTATTAACTGTTAGTAAATGAAGAATAGTTGCAACTAGAATAATGTCTCAATAACATACTTAAGCTATTAACTAACACTTAACTAATATATTAACTCACACTTTACAGATCAGTTGTTCATCGTTTGTTTACCATCTACTAATACCAGTGAAACTTTGTAGAGGAGCAAATGGATGGAACAAGTTCAAGCCACAGAAATTTGATGTGATACCTAAAATATAAAATGTTTGTATCTTAACCTTGTTCCACTCATAGGCTTTTCTGTGTGCTGTATTTTACCAAAGTAACTCCACAGATGAAATGTTAAACATTGTGTTTAATGTATAGAAACACATACTGAGCCATCACTTGGCAGAACAGAAGTATACAAGAATACAAACCCATGAGGTGCTAAACATGAAAACAAAAGAAATAACAAAAATATTTTATTAAAGTTCTACACAGTTTCACTGGTGTTATTAGATGGTTAACAACTGATCTGTAAAGTGTGACTTATTATATTAGTTAAATGTTAGTTAATAGCTTAAGTATGTTATTGAGACGTTATTCTAGTTGCAACTATTCCTCATTTACTAACAGTTAATAAATGAAGAATATTTGCAACTTTAGAATAACGTCCCAATAACATATATAAACTGTTAACTGATACTTAACAAGTCTTTAGTAAGTAATTTACTAACAGCTTGTTTAGGATCTCTTAATAATTTATTAGGTATAGTTATAAATCATTAAAATACAGTTAACAAGTCATTTACAACTTGTTAACTAACAGCTCATAAGTTATCTCTCAGCCATCTATAAGACACAGTTATAAAAAATTAACAAACTATTAACTTTTATTTAACAAGTCATTTGCAACCCATTAACTAACAGTTTATTAATGGCCTATTAAGTAGTTATAACTGATGGTTATTATAAAGTGTTACCGAGAAAAGAAATACAAGGCATCTTCATCATATCGAACATATTGAACAGTAGCAAGTGTCCATTTAAATTATAATTCACTGTATTATAATAATATGGTGTATTAATAATAATATAGTGTAAATTATAATATACTTTTATGCAGCCAAAAATAGGATTTGGGGAGTCTGTTGATCTGTGAAAGTGTCCAATACTGTAAATGTCGTTTTTTTTAACTTGTTTATTAAGTTGTCGTTAATATTATTGTTGTTTTTAGCTTGGTAGGATCTGGTTTATGTTCTGACTGACATATTTTCTGGTCTGCAAGTTGTTTTTATGTGACCTGTGCCATTTCAATTTTTCGTATATAGTGCAAAACAGGAAATATGCATGAATAACGGCATGTTATGAACTGTACAGCACTGCATTATCAGAATTGATTATTTTTTATTTCAAAGAAAGTTGAATTAGTGTGGCTCAGATGCATTTCAGCTATGATGTGTGCACACAGTTTTAATGTGAAGTTTTTGTGGTTCCAGTGGTTTCAAATGCAAACGATTTCATGACATTTCGGAGGTTTCTATACATATTCTATACATATGTAAACACTAACCAGCCAAAGTTTTTCCAGAAAGAGGAGATTTTGCTTTTGTCATTATTTTATATCATTTTTAAATAACCATGCAGTCTTACAGTCTAATTCATTTCTAGTGCTTGTGTATAGTGTGACATATTAGCTACAGTATAGTCCAAATGATATGTTTTAAATAATAATAATGTTATTGTCATGTAAAAGGGCACTTCGGAAAATAATGATTTGTGTGTAAATAAATGCTTTTTTATTACGTGATTTTGTAATTTTTCCTTTAAGTTGGCCACTTTTAACTTTGGGTTAATGACATTTTAAACAGTTTTCTACTCCGCACATCTGAGCCTGTATTAATAAAACATTTCATCTTGCTACTCAGAGTTTCACTAAATAGCAGTAAAGGTTTTTAGCTAGAAGTTTACTCTTAACATTGTTCAAAAAGATGCTGAGACAAATGTTTACTAAGGAATAGAGAGAAGTCTTAAAGGGCTCCAATTTTGATCTTTTAACAAGATGTAAAATAAGTGTTTTGTGTCTCCAAAATGTGCCTTTGAAGTTTCATGTCAAAATACCCATCAGATTATTTATTTTACCCTGTTGAAAATGTCAATGTTTAGCTCAGAGGGAATTGTAGCTGTTTTTGCGCCTGTTCCTTAAATTGTAAAAAACAAAACCAAAAAAAATGTGTTTTCAAACAAATGAAGACAGCACAAGTGAATGATTCCTTTGAATTATTTAGCCTGACATGTTTACTGCTCCAAAATATTATAAATATTTTTTGAAAATGAACAAAAAGATAAATTAATAAATATATATACACTTGAAGTCAGAATAATTAGCCCCCCTTTGATTTTTTTTTTCTTTTTAAAATATTTCCCAAATGATGTTCAACAGAGCAAGGAAATTTTCACACCATGTCTGATAATATTGTTTCTTCTGGAGAAAGCCTTACTTGTTTTATTTTGGCTAGAATAAAAGCAGTTAAAAAAATTTTTTAAGTCTAAATTATTAGCCCTTTAATAGTCTACAGATCAAACCATCATTATCCCAGTTAAGCCTTTAAATGTTTAATACTTTAAGCTGTACAGAAGTGTCTTGAAAATATCTAGTAAAATATTATTTACTGACATCATGGTAAAGATAAAATAAATCAGTTGTTAGAGATGAGTTATTAAAACTATTATGTTTAGAAATGTGTTGAAGAAATCTTTCTCTGTTAAACAGAAATCGGAGAAAAAAAATAAACAGGGGGCTAATAATTCAGGGGGGTGAATATTTCTGACTTCAACTGTATAAATATTGTTTTCAAAAGGGGGAAAAAGTTTTATTGTTATTTTTTACCCAGACATTTAAAAAGAATATATTTTAGAGCACCGTCAGAATCTTATACCGGCCCATGCCAATCCACCCACCTAAAGTAAGTTCTCCCTGCCCGCTCTTGGGACATTTCTCTTCAGAGAAGGATAACAAAGATATCAGGATAATCCAAGCAAAATAGAAAGGACTCAAGACACAATGAAACAGAAACCCAATCACAAATACCACAGTGAGATGAATAAGCCAAATACAAATGCCATTACTACGTTCACGCTCATGTGCACACACATAAATGTGCTTTTGCTGTTTTTGCTCATCTGCTCATGGCAAATGATGAGGATGCCCACAAGTACATATGCTGCAGTATAGAGATCCATTATGATATAATAAACCTGCCACAACGTCCACAATCTGGGACTCTTGTGTGATTGAAGTGTCTGTTTATGGGAGAGTGTCGCTACAGTGCAGTGTACTCTGTATATTTAGGACACGGGAACCTGATTCTCATTGATCTTGCACTTGTGTATCGGAGGCCAGCTAGTGTGTGCTGTGCTGGTAAACCTCACTCGTCTGACCTCTAAAGGTCTAGAGGCCATGTTCTTTAGCCTCCATGCGGGAGGTCGCCAGTTCGATCCCAGCTTGGAGCTGGTTGGGTGGCGTAGGACTGGCAGGGTTACATTGGTGCCGTGACCCGGATGGGAGTGAGGTTTAGGGGGGTGAGTGTAACAGAGGCTAGTGTGTGCTGTGCACGTAAACCTCACTCCTCTGACCTCTAAAGGTGCTCTAGCGACAGACGCTAGAGGCTATGGTCTTTAGCCTCCTTGTTAGAGCAACCGACTCCCATGCGGAAGGTCGCCGGTTCAAATACCAGCTCGGAGCGGGTTGTGTGGCGTAGGACCAGCGGGGTTATACTTGCACCGCATATAAAGAGGAAAATATATATGAAAATATCTTGGGGCAGTTTGTAGATGCCCTGTCATTAAGTATGGGTAAACACCAAAGACTGTAAAAGATATGGATGTAGTATCTGTGATGTCACCCATAGATTTCTGCCTTAAATGAAGCGACAAGTAAGCATTGCCAACCGTCTCCATTTCTCGATTCATCTAACACATCCAAGTGATGCGATTTCGCAGGTCAGAGTTCACCTAGCTTGAACTTTGCACCACAGTGACCTTCTAAACTTAATGCATGACCTTGTGTTTCCGGTCTGAATTATTCGCGTGCGTATGAAAAGAAGTCTATGGGAAGAAAAGTGCAATGTGACTGCAGCTTAAGCAGGCTTTCTAGAATTATCTTGCAGGTGTGTTGAGGCAAGTTGGAGCTAAAATCTGCAAGACACCGGCCCTCCAGCACTGAGTTTGGACACCACTGCTCTAGGCTTACTCGCAGAAGTTGGGATCTCCAGATTGTAACATTTTGATATTGGGGTGCTGCAGGGCTCTGTTCATGGACCACTTCTCTTTTCTTTCTTTTTGTTAAACTATTTTTATCAAGCATATATATATATATATACAATCTATTTTCTTTGATTAGATTATTAAAGAAGATTTTTAGTTAAAACCACAATCCTTGGTGAATCATAAAATCCAAGTAAACAGCTTTTGTGACAAATAAAGGCAAAACTAAATTAGGATGATCAGTATGAAAGTCATATTCAAGATTGTTTTCTGAAGTTGTAAATAATGTAGATAAAAGTCCCCAACATCTTGAAAATCTTTATGACTATCAATTAATTTTCATCTTTGAGTGAATTATCTATTTAATTATGCTCATGTGAGACAATTAGACAGCAAATGTTTATTTCAGATTTTTATTTATGATATAATCAAAACAGATGCCTGCGTTAATAATACCTACACACACAATGTACAGGTTACCATATAAAAACTACAAAGTGACAAACATTTAGTTTGACAGATAACAGTTGTACAGCATAAAGTGATAGAACACTGTTGGTTTGCCATATATATTTACCTGTGTTTGGCACTTGACCACATGTTGCTGTCTCGTGGGGTTTAGAAATGAAGAATATATATATTTTTAAGGAGAATTTAAAAAGCAAAACTCATCAGCAGCGATTAGTTTTGATTTCAAGCTCCTTCACAAATTGTTCTAATGGCTTAAATAAATTTGATCATTACAACCTTGACTTCACAGCAACTTCAGTGGAAACCACAGAAAGCTTATAATGGCTACCCATCTTACAAATATGACGTGGTTTGCATGTGAGCGAGTGTTTGTGTATTTATATAATGGACTACAGATTTGCATGACAGAAAAAAGCATATGCCATCCATTTACACTTGCACGTTCAAACCACTTCTAACCCTGAGGTTGTGCAGAAATAATCGTACACATTAATATCCTACACCCCAATTGCTTCAAAAGTCACCGACAGTATTTCTTTTCAACTCAAGTGCTGGTCAAAATACATGCATAGACAAACACTGAATACACATGAAAAAAGCACCACATACACACATCCTGAAATGTACAGAAAGTACCAGTTAATGAAGAGAATACATTCAGTTTGAGGTGCAGATCCACATGTAGAACGTGCAAAATGATTTAAGCTGTTTCCCATGATATATAAGAATCGGATACCAAGATTTCAATAAGACAAGATTCAGTCAAGCTTCAGCTCCCTATGTCAAACAACATTCACTTCGTCTTAAGGTACATCTAAAATATGTACTTTTTATTTGACAGCTGACTGTGTGGGCAGAGCTTTGACTGCATCGGCGTCTAGAAATTATAACAAGCTGAAGGGATTCTGTTGGCTGGTCGATAAGTAAATGGTCTAATGTGAATGTGCATAGAAACGTGTGGTCTTCGCTGTTCATTGTTACAGTCTTAAATAGATATGCGTTCACCAACCCAGGCTCATTCTGAAAACGTACCATTATATACATTTCTAGTCTGGAGAGAGCAAAATACGTCCCAGGGGGTACGTTTATTTGCACTTTTTGATTGTTTTGTCTTCGGGAATCCAGCAGAGGCCGCTGTGCACTCTTTGTCAGATGCCGTTTGCGCCTGCTGTTCTCACGTATTTCCTTTAGAGGCCGCTGTTGATTGACTGACTGACTGACTGACCAATCGACCGATTTCCTGCCCTCCCCCTTCCCTAAACTCAACCAATAGTATTTTAAGAAGCACCGATTGACCCGCCCATCCACTTCCCTAAAGCCAAGCAGTGTTTTGAAAAGCAAACCAGAAAAAAGAAAAACCCTCGCCTGATTTTTACCAGGTTTTCAGATTTGACTACATTCTCACCCTCTTATTTACTTGTTAATTTTATTTTTTGGCTTCTGCTTTTGTCTTACGTGCTTTCTGGAACTGTTTTTCACCCGACTCGAACTCTGTTGTACATGTCGAGCAATCGGACAAACTGCTAACAGCGGAGATGCCATCCACATGAAGGTAATATAGGGCTATGTTTTCAGAACGTGCCTATATTGGCTTTTACTGTACAAAGGATTATTTGAAATAAAAGAAAACGTCTTTTTTTTGTGTTGTGATACATTTGTATCACTGGACCATAAATTATATCTACATTTTCCCCTAATACTTTTTCATGTTTTCTCTCTTTTTTTTTTTTGAAGCAGCAGGATTGATATTATATTTGTCCCTATGAAAATAGTTCTTTGCTTAATGATATCGTCCAACTATACGGTTAGTCAGTCCTACAGTATGCAGCGAATATTAAAGTTTAAAAAAAGTGTATTTTTATTTTTATTTTAAAGATTATACGGATGCTCATAAAAGGAGCACCATCATGACAAAATATACCCCTTTAAGAATATCTAGCACAGGCTTTCTGACATAATGCAATAAATGTTGGAAAAACACTTCAAGTAAAAAAAAACGCCCAAGTGCTTCTCATAAATAAATGTATGTGCTGAATGTAATTGAAACACTAGGAACCCTTAGGAATGATATTTGTTAATATATGTGTAAAATGACTTAATTTAGTAAACTCTTAAAAATATTAATTATTAAATAAGCTATGATTTTTGACAAAGTGTTTACTTTATCGTTCTGTGCATTTTTGCGTGCTTGGAAAATTTTCGCTTCAGCTCCATCTCAGGCAACCTCTGTTTATATTTCGAGCCCTTTTTAAGGGTTAATTTCAATACCAAAAATGAACAAGTGATGCCAATTACATCACTGCCTTTTGTGTTTTTAGCAACAAAAAAAAGCCTTATATGAGTTATTTAAAGTAAAGAGAGACACATCTCAGTGTCCACAATCTCAGTGACCCTAAAAAAACAAACATGGTGTTCAGTGTGAAATCCTCAGACACTGAGGGGTGTAGTTTTGGAGTCCAGGCTCTGTTGATGTTCAAAAGGAGATGGGACGGAACGATTTTGTGTACGAGAGGTTATGACTGTTGGGAGACTGCTGTTGATTCACTGGCCGGCGCTGCTGGGGTCACACTGCAAAAGTCGCACGATGGATGGGTCGTTCTTTGCACCCTCTACAAACTCTTCGAGTGACAGCTTACCTGAGGGAGAAACACAGAGACTAACGTCAAAAGCAAGCTAGACAAGAGTCATCCCAGCAAGCACAGCACATCAACATGACATCAGATTGACCCTAACATCGTGGGATGTTACATTTTGTTTGGAAATGAAAATCGGGTTGACGTCAGAACCCAATGTCAGGCCGACATCAATGTCCTTCGTCGGACAGATTGCATTGTGGTTACTTTCCAACGCAACCTAAAAACAACTAAACAGTCAACGTGTAATGATGTTACAGCTTGACGTTGTGGGGACGTTACCACTTTTGGATAAATGTCAGTATTTAAAGTTACAATATTTTTGTAACTTTCCAACACAACCTAAATACAACTAAATAACAGCGTGTTTAACGTCATTACTGGACGTCAAAATAAGGTTGTCCTTAGAGGTTCTGGTGACCTTAATCCTATCTTATATTAATGTCTTATGACATTGTATGTCCGCTGGGATGGTTTGAATAGTAACACTAGCATGGGACAAAATTAGATTTTTTTCAGGTGCACTCTAAAAAATGCTGGGCTCGTCGGCGCTAGTGGTGTAGTGGTTAGTGCGTCGACACATGCACTCCAGTGCTCGCGGTGACCCAGGTTCGATTCCGCCGCGCGGTCCTATGCTGATCCCTCCCCTTTCTCTGCTCCCCATGCTTTCCTGTCAATTATCTGTACTGTCCTATCAAAAATAAAGGTGAAAACCCGAAAAAATAATTATAAATTTTTTTTTTTTAAAAATGCTGGGCTCCACACAATTGCTACATGCTTTCCTAACACAAATCGATTATGTAAACTTATTTGTTTCTAAAAATGTAAGTGGATTAAACATAACAGTATTAAGTTGTCCCTAAAGAATTGTGTTGATTCAGCTCATTTTAAGTAGTTTGAACAAACAGCAAAACTATTTTTAAAGTAAATGCTCGAGCCCATTTAATGCCAGCATGAAATCCAAATTTAATCTTCTTTTTTTTTAGATGTATATAGAAGTGTTGTTATAAACAATGTATCTGTGCACTTCATTATTTTGTTAAATTAATTTGCCCTCATAATCAGGGCCAGACGGAATCTGCGGAGTTTTTTTGCTATTTCTGCAGAGAATTTTGGTAAAAATCGCCAGATTTCTGCGGAATTATTTTGGGAGTATCCAGCGGAGTATCATAACTAAAACCTTAATATATTAAATAAAAAGTAATAAATTACTGAATAAAAACTGAATAAATTCATATTTACACATTTACTCAAGTAAATAAATAGAATTAATAATGGGATAAAAATCTCCAGAAATCGGCGGAAAATCTGCGTGCGCGTGTGGGCCTACTCATAATCCTTAATCAAAACCACAACCTTCCCTCCCGCCGAAATGACTTTTTCTCACTTCTGGTCACATGGAATGGCTTTAGGGCGGGGCTATCAGTGAGGGTTGTTTTTGCCCTTCCTTTGTGGGAGGCAGTAGTTTGAACAAATATGATACATTTCTGTTTGTAAACTGTCGTCCTTGTTCTTGTCATCCGAAAATATTCTGCACTAGATGGTTACGATGATGAGAGCAAAGTGGCTTTTAAATCTTCCTCTATTTTGTTAGCAAAGCACATCTTAATCTGTTGCTAAAGGACAAAATCTTCACTGCCCTACGTTGCTTCTGATTTCAGAAACTGTTTGAATCAGATGTACATCACGATAGGGGGAAAAAAAAAGACAAAATTAGGCTGCGTTCAAAACCGCATACTTCCAAACTATATAGTACGCTAAAATCACTATGCGAGCCGAGTAGTATGTCCGAATTCATAGAATTTGAAAATCAGTATGCGAGAAGTACCCGGATGACTTACTACTTCCAGCAAGATTCTGGAGTGCGCATCCCAAGCATGTTGCGCTATCCCATGATGCCCCATGAGCGAATTCATGAATGGGAGTAAAGTGACGCAACTGACGCAAGTAGGTCATGTGACCATGACAAAATGGTGGATGTAGTACGTCCGAATTCCATTCATACTGTATAGATTGAACGGCTGAGTAGTACGTTTAAATTCAAATACAGTACCTACTGAGTAGTAGTCGATTTTGGACGCAGCCTTAATTTCCAATTCATGCCAACTTTAACCGTCGCATTTGTATTGTTTGTTTAGAAATCTTTAATAACCTTCTTATTTATATTTCTGTCACCAATCTTTTAATATGTATAAATGGTTTATATAAATAACGGTTAAATCAATAAAATGGAAAAAATTGTGAATATAATGTGTTCATAGGCTTTTTTTTAGAGTTTATAGGCTAGTTCACTAAAAATTATGACTGAAACACCCTTAAGTTGTTTTAAAACTTTATGAGTTGCTTTCTCCTGATATTTTTGAAAAATGTTGGAAACCACTAGCTATTAGTTTTTATAGTAGTGGAAAATTACTATGGATGTCAATGACAACCGGTTTACCAAACATCCTTTAAAATATCGTCTTCTGTGTTAAACGAGAAAAAACTGTTTGGACCAATCCTTTAAAGTAAACAATTCTTTTAAAAACATATTATAACTGCAAGTATGTTTTTAATATATCTTTGAACTTAGAAAGTAAACATTCAGAAAAATGAGGTCTTTTTTTTTTTGCAAGAGAATAAAAAGCTCACCATCACGATTTGTGTCCATCTGACGGAAGATCTTGTCTGTGCGCTTCTCAGGTGTGGACTCGTCCTCTGGCATTTTCATCACAGAAGATACCATCTTGTAGATGGCCTGAGGAAGACGAGATAAAAAAGATCACACTTAAGTGTGAGTTCTTACCCTACGAAAACATGATGTTGTGCAACAAGAGAAATTTTTCACTTTCACAGAACAATATGTCCTATAGTAGAGTTAGCATGGCACTAACACATTGCTAAGTTAACTACAGAGTACTCAAAAAAGAATATCTACATTTATGAAAATCAACATATTCCTTCATATGCAAAATGTTATCTTTAGGAATCTGAGCCCACTGCTTTGCATTCTGGGAATATCTTATCAATTAGAAAAACATGCTACGTATGCTTTCAGAATTAGCTAGCTTTTGGGTTGGAAGTGCACCTATGCTGTACAGTTCAAAGTAAATCTTGTTAGAGAAGATTAGAGGACTCTGGGTTTGATTTGGCATTAGAGCAGTCACTTCAGAACTGTTTCTAAGTTACCATAGCGACGGCTTTTCTCTGAAAACCGCATGAATTGAAAAGGAAATTACAGCTATTTGCTCACACTCAGGCGTCAGACTCAGAGAGTGCACTTAGGAAGTTGACGCATGTCACCAATTGCTACAACGGCATAAAATTTACCTAAACATGAGCAGAAATAATTGCCTGCTGCACTCAATTCTGTCTAATTGAGCGAACTAACAAGCCTAAGTGGAAAGTGCTTTTGAACAAGAGACAAGGATTTTTCTTGTTTTTACCGATGCTATATGAAGAAACCTTTTTTTTAAGTAATAAAAACAAATAAGGCACAAGCCAAAAAATACAGTTGCTCAGAGGCTGTCTGATATTACTGATTTTCTATGTTATTTTATGAACAAAACTGAATTATTTAATATAGTTTAACGTTATTTTTTTGTGTTTTTTGTATACTTCTCATAATATAGGAGCTACTTCAGTTAGCATGCGACATAAATGAGCCTTGACAATTGACCATTAGTGCATTTAGACAGGTATATTCTTCAAACGTACAAAAAAATAACAATATAGTATCTGTCTTAACCAGGAATCAAGGATTTTCTGTGTATAATGTTGAACCAGTCAGAGAGATGGATTTTAGACCAGCCAAATTTCATTGTGGAAATGGCTACAATCAAAACTCCGCTGTGTTTACAGAAATAAACAAATAAATAGGATTTTCTAATATAAATAGGATATGTGCTTTAACCCATTATTTTGTGTAAATTATGGTTTCCAAAATGATATTGTTTCCCAGTGGTGGGTTGCAGCTGGAAGGGCATCCGCTGTGTAAATTGTGCTGGATAAGTTGGCAGTTCATTCCGCTGTGGCGACCCCGGATTAATAAATGGACTAAGCCGACAAGAAAATGAATGAATGAAAATGATATTCTATTTATGTAAATTACAGCGGCAAGGTGGCTTAGTGGTTAGCAAGAAGGTTGCTGGTTTAGTCCCAGTTTAGCCAGTTGGCATTTCTGTATGGTGTTTGCATGTTCTCCCTCTGGGTTTCCTCCGGGTGCTTCGGTTTCCCCTACAGTCAAAAGACATACGCTATTGGACAAATTAAATTGGCCGTTGAGTATGTGTTTAAATGAGAGTGTATGGGTGTTTCCCAGTGATGGGTTGCAGCTGGAAGGGCATCTGCTGCATACTGTAAAACTGGATAAGTTGGCGGTTGATTCCCCTGATTAATAAAGGGACTAAGCCAAAAAGAAAATAAATGAATGAATGAAATTGGCTGCAGTGCAAGAGTGTGTGTGTGTGTGTGTGAATGAGAGTGCATGGGTGTTTCCCAGTACTGGGTTACGGCTGGAAGGGCATGCGCTCTGTAAAACATATGCTGAAATAGTTGGAGGTTCATTCCACTGTAGTGACCCCTGATAAATAAGTGATTAAACCGAATGAAAATGAAGGAAAAATTTCTGTCAACTATTCAAATACGCTTTGGTGTAAAAGGTGATCGTCATGCACATGTGCATTACTTGTTCAGCCTAAAACATTCTTGAGTGTTTGACGACCAAAGCAACAATAACTTGCGAGGTCGGACAGATATTGCCAACTACTGGTCTGGCACGCATATTAATGATTTTTTTAAATTGCTTTGACAATGTTGTCAAGCAAAAAAAAAAAAAAAAAAATGCAAATAATAAAACCTTTTGTTTTTATTGCATCTATGCTGTTCAAGCACACACAGATAAGAATGCTAAAGGTGCACAATGATTAAATCGCAGAAGGCAAACATTGCAAAAGCTACTTTGTTATGAAGGAAGTTTATCTAGTTTTCCAGTACAAATACCTAACATTAGGTATTAATACAAAATCAGATAAAAAGAAAAAAATTAATTAAATTAAATTAAATTACAAAGAAAGACAAAAAATGTTGAATCAAATGTGACATTTTTTAAAGTAAAAAAAAGTTTTTTTTTGACAACTAATTTGAAATTATTAGAATCAGAATAACAAATTCCATTGATTACAAAATATTTCTAAATAAATTTATAATCCCATAGAAGTGCTAAGTGCTAATTTATAATCGAACAATGTATTTTTTTCTTTCATTAACTCACTAATGGGCTATATGCACAGCTAATATGCTCAATTTCATAAGGTTCCTTTTAGAGCATCGATGTTGTAATGTAATTAATATACAGTCAGTTAAATAGACTTAAGCATTCATTATGGGCTATATGCACAGCTAACATGCTCAATTTCATAAGGTTCCTTTTAGAGCATCGATGTTGTAATGTAATTAATATACAATCAGTTAAATAGACTTAAGCATTCATTAAGTTGTTCAAGCGTAAAACAAGATGCAAGACAGTGTAGACGCAAGTGCCATCAGGAGCAGCAGAAACTCCATTGAAAATACTGTGGTAAAATACATTTCTATTTATTTTGAATTTGAAGCAGTTCTTCTTGTCCGGTCTGAGACCCACTTTAAATCTTATAGAATGAAAGAAATCAGATCTTAAATATAATTTTGTAATGGCATGGCAGTTTACCCAAAGCAACTGGGCTGGCTGACTGAAAATAAAAAGCTTGTTTGTATAAATTGTACTGACAAACAAGACCAAAACCGTTGACGTTGTCAGGAGACATCGGCACTGTACTGTTTAAACCCAGACTAAAGAGAACCACACTCAAACACACACCTGCACAATCTCCAGCATCTCCGCCTTGCTGATGTATCCGTTGCCGTCTAGATCGTACATGCTGAAGGCCCATTTAAGCTTCTGATCCAAGCGGCCACGTGATGTTACACTCAGCGCAATGATGAACTCTCTGAAATCTATTGTCCCATCTCCATTGGCGTCGAAGGTCCGGAAGACATGCTCTGCGAACTTTGATGCGTCTCCATAGGGGAAGAAGTTGCCGTAGATCTTCTTGAACTCGTCCATGCTGAGCGCCCCGCTGGGACAGTCCCGCAGAAAACCCTTATACCACTCCAAGATCTCATGCTCTGTGAAATCTGTGTTGTCCAGCAGATCCTGGATCACCTCGGGACGGAGCTTGCTGTTTTGTTTTCCCATGTCGATGCTCTGGATTCAGCTAGAAGTGAAGGAGAGAAAAAAATAAAGAGTTAAATGGTTCATATTAAGAAATTAATTAAATACATTTTACATTAGGAATTCACGATATCTGTAAAATACGATATTTTGTTATCCTGTGATTAAATATTATGATATGAATGCAATTTCACCAGATGACTTGAATATCTCTGTTTGGAAAGAATTGATCATTTTAGATTTGATAAATTGTAATAAATCATCTACGAGCATAGATGAATACAATTAAGAAAAATACACTAATAAAAATAAAAAGTAAATAAAAAGTTTTATTGTTCATTGTACAGTATTTGAATAATCAAATGCAAAATAATACTGCATAGTCTTTATTGCGTATAAAATCAATAAAATGAATTGTTATTAAAGTTACAGACGGTACAATTTCAACATTGCATATCCTGCGATGTGACTATAGTAAATGATTACATTGCAATATCGATACTGACACAATATATCGTGCAGTTTCTCTTTTCAACCTTGTATATTTACTTTAGTGTTCCAAATATGAATTTAGTTTAGTTTAGAATTTTATTTTTTTAATGCAAAATGAAAAACAGGATTGAAATTTTTTTTTATCTTAATGGACTTAAATTCAGAGTGTGTTCACATTTCTGGGGTCCGTTCTTCGTACCTCACTTAATTGCTCTAAGACAGATCCTGGATCTTTTATTCCTGATAACTGATCTTTGGCTAATTTGGTTCTTCAAACAAGTTCGCGAATCAGATTAAAATGTCTGGATGGACTGATCTGAGATCAATGCGTGTGTTGTGAAGAACAGATCTATCGATCCTCGAAATCATGATCAGCAATGCAACGATTGGCTGATGGCACAGCAGCGTAATGACATCATCTGATTTATATTGAATTATCCATGTGAGCAAACTTGCAGAAAATTAGCAGTAAACGGTTTGTAAAATATGACACACAATAACTTCACACGTTTGTTGCGAGCTGTAGGCTTTACACTTTCATGTTTCAAGAGTATTCATCATGTATCCTACTCAATTTTTTTGAATCAGCGTAAGGAATAACTGTATAAATTAATTTTGCATCAAAAAACATTTTGATTTCAGTAAAGGTGTCAATCACTGGCATATTAGCGGTCAAAACATGTGCATATATCATGCATGTATGCGTTTGTATCTAAAAAGACAATATAAGATCAATAAATTTTCTCTATGAACCACCAGGTGGCAGTCTTTGTACTTTTATTTCGGAGTGCAGATTGCATACGTTTTATTAATATATATTTTTTTAACTTTGTATATATATTATATATATATATATATATATATATATATATATATATATATATATATATATATATATATATATATATATATATAGTTAAAAATAGATATATTTACTATTTTCCTAAGTGTATATAACCACTGTAAGAAATTATCAGCATTTGGTACATACTTTCAGTATTATTTTTGCTGAACTGACCCAATCTAATCCTGTTTATATGAAATGAACCTGCTCCCAAGCAGGTTAGAGCTACCAGAACCGTTGCTATGACAACAACTCTCAGATTAGTTTTGAAGAACGAAACGATCCTGGATCATGTGAAATCGTTAATAACCAAATCCAGCTAATTGAGTTGTACACATATGAAGAACGGATCCCTGGTTCAGTTCTCCTTGTTGCAAGGACCCTACATTTAGTTGTGGATCATTTTAAATCTTAACTGAATTAATTTTATAAATATCTAACCAGACACATTTTCCAGTTCTATAGTACACACAAGGCCTACATTTAGGATTTATACATTAATATGCAATATATGATATGGAATATCATATGCAATTTCCATCCATTTGGATGGAACCATTTTGACCAATAATGGGATGCTTATTTGTAAATCAAATGTATGCATTGAAAATAAATAGTAAATGTGTTATAAACTTCACTGTAATTTTGTCAACAAAAATAAGGGCGAAAAATCTAGAGCGTTACACAAACAGAAATTTAACATTTCCTCTGTGTTAGTAATGTGACTTAAAACTTTGAATGCGAGCACTCAGTCCGCTTATCTAATGTGCATTATAGTTAATGGAAAAAAACACACAAGACAAAACTATAAACTAACCGATTTTTAACTTTTGTTTTAATCCCCTACACTGCACTGTTCGATAATTAGATGAGTGGGACAGAGTGGTTGCATTCAGTCATATTACTGACGCAGCAGAGTTTCTGGTAGTTTCAAGTCATCTTCTTTTGTGAAGATAACATTGATAAACACAACCAAATTTTTGGATTTATCATCAAATATTGTTTAAATTAAAGATCAATAACCGATAACCGTATTGAAACAATTTTGAAACATTTTATCCCTTTAACTGCCCCTGCAAAAAAAAGTTTTTTGATTGCATTTCTTAACTCATGTCACTAGTTAACACACACAATACATTTTTTTTTCAACACATCCCATAATTTCTAAAATATCAACCTTTACAAAATGAAAAAAAAAGTTCCAGAATTAATACAGATACTATGAAAAATCTGAAAATATAGAAATGTTTTATTTAAAGACTTAATCAAAATAAAACATTTTTGAATACTAAATCATTTTTGTTTTTTTAAGGACATCTGAAATATTTTATGGTTCTCATTTAACATGTTTTCCTTTTTTGTTTTTTTTTACAATAAAACCTAATTCAAGTGTAGTAGTGCAACAGGATTATTATTTGTTTTATTTATTTATTTTTTTTGTAAACCAACAATGCTGTGTAAACCATTATTTAAAACATTCATTCATTTTATTAAATGACTTAAACAGTCATTATTTAAAACAGTCAAAATATGGTCAACCATTTGGTAAAGCTGATAGTAAGCAACTGATTTATCTTTTTTCATCAATTATACTGTATCAAAATAGGGATTTTTGAGTGCAAACCTGTTCCGTTTATATATGATTGAAAATATTCACAATGTTAAAACTGTGCAGCCAAATGGACAGAAAAAGTATGTTATATTTGAATAGATAAATCTTAAGCCTAAATATAGCGTAGAGTATATTAACGGTTCTCTCACTGGTGTCTGTTCCTCCTATAGATTTTGTTTTAGGAGACAAAGATTCTCAGTCAAGCCTCTTGGGGACTACAATAAACAGTGACAGAATAAAAAAAGAAAGGAAAAGTGGCTTGAACCCTGACTGTGGATATACTATCTATGCAAAGCACACATATCTGCCACGTTTCTAAAATTTCTCTTCCTTTTCCCATCTGTCAACTGAACTTTCCACTGGTAGACCGCAGTGATACTCTCACCTGCTGCAGTGTGTGTGTGCAGCTGCACCAAAATTACTTCCTGATGCAAATCTCTCATAAAAAAAACCCATGTGCCTCCATACACACTTGATCCCGACACCAAATATTAGGGTAATTCTACAAAATTACCAACAATTCTTTATTTTAACACAGCAAGTAGTAGCTGATAAAAATGATTTCAACAAATGAACAAATAAAAAGTTAATTTTGATAAAAATGCCTGCCTTTAAAATTGTTCAACAATTTTTATTAAATATTTTACTTTCTTTCTATTTTATTTGTTATTATATTTATGTCAGGAATGGAAATGGCATGCGTAACGAGTCTTTATTCTCATCCGTGTCTGCTGAGATGAGAATGGATGGAGAGTGATGGGGATAAAACAAAATAACATTGTGGAGATTAAGAGATGGAGAAACTGAACCTCCTTTTGTAAACAGGAAGCAGTCCATCAGTTTGCCTTTCACTGCTCCTCACGTAGCGCATGTGACCGACCGTCCAGCCAGACGCTATATTTAGTGTGTTTATTTTGCTCGTATTGAAATAATACAAAAAAAGAGGAACAGATGAACATAAAAATATGAAAAATAGCTGACTTTTATGCTAGCCGTTCCACATCTGATTCTCTCAATAGCTTGTGAGAAACTGTCTGTCACAAATGTGGAAACATTATCTACATAGAAATAAATAGATATTACGCAAGTCAGTTTTAACACTTGGCTTTTGGTGAATTGCAGAATGTTCACACAGTGTTGTACTAAAAACAGATTTTTTTTTTTGTTGTAGCATGTTTTGCATACAGACGACAATGTTGTCAAATGATCCCCATTCACTTGTATCCACAAAAATGACTAAAACTATTTTATTTTGCATGCTAGGGATTTAAAAAAAATAACAAAGAAATTCTTCTTGCATTTCTATAGTCTGAACGTGCAACATGGTATTTATTTTCACTAATTAGTTCTTCTGTAGTCAACATTTTCGACTCAATTTTAAATGTTTGATATTTGATGCCTCCGAAATGTCTTTTTTGGTCACATTAAAAAATGTCTGTTGTTAGATTTAAAATGGTTTCTTGGTGTTGTATAAACCCACCCTAAATGCACCCTTAACGCATTACTTAATAAATATATAAATCGGTTCAAAAGTTGTAGATTAGTATGATTTTTTCAATTTTATTCATTAAAGACGTATTACGTTAACAAAAATATTATTATTTACATAAACATAAATAATGTTGACAGAGCATCTAACAACAACAACAAAAAGAGTCAAGTTGTGCTAAAGTGCTAGAACAATACTAATATCACAATATAAATAAAATAGATGGATGGATGGATGGATTGATCAATGGATGGATGCTTTATTTTTAAAGATGCGATTCTACATTTATCTAGATGGATGGACAGACAGACAGACAGACAGACAGACAGACAGACAGATAGACAGACAGATAGATAGATAGATAGATAGATAGATAGATAGATAGATAGATAGATAGATAGATAGATAGATAGATAGATAGATAGATAGATAGATAGATAGATAGATAGATAGATAGATAGATAGATAGATAGATAGATAGATAGATAGATAGATAGATAGATAGATAGATAGATAGATTTCAAAATATTTGTTAATGGAAACTTATTTTAAATGATTCAAACTTAACTTTATTTAAAAAAAAACAAATGCACCCTTGGTAAGCAA